AAATCAAAGAAATAAAAAGAGGGACACAACAACGCCGCCACCGTGCAAGGCAGCACGCCTCCTGATGTCGCGAAATGCGAGTGCAAGTTCCGGCGCAGCTCCACGTACCCAAATGCCTATGCAGTGCAGCAAGAGGAGCTTGCCTTCTTGAAGGACCGGTGCAGGCACCGGAAGCTAATCCTGGGCTCATATAACCGGGCTACGACCGTGACTAGGGAGGCTCGCGAGGTGCGGAGGATGGCCAGACGACTCCAGGGGCGTCGTGGCTTGGCTGCCAGTGAAGCGCTGTCCGCTGCTGAACCTGAGTCACCTCCCCCCCCCCCCCCCCATCCGGCTGCTAGTACTGAACTCCAGCCCGCGCCGAGGCCAAGTGCTCTGCGCTGGAGAGTCATCGAGAGCACGGATTCTGACACGGGTCCGTGCATGGTGGGAGGAGGCAACAACTCCGATTGCCCGTTCCTGGTGAGATCGCTGCCACTGCAGTTGGTAACGTTAACGATCTGACTAACATCGCTCCGACAGTTGGCAACCACGGTGGTTCGAACCGGATCGCTGCTGCTATCACCAACGCCTTCCATCAAGACAGCACAGGCGGACTGGCTGCTTTAAATTAAATGTCATAGATTCCAAGAAGATTTGGCGCACAAGAGACAGAGCGAGAAAAGAAACGGCTCATCAAAATGCTGAATCGATCCATGAGTCAGGTTTGGCCATCCTCTACTTCGACGACCGCGAAGACAGAACCTGTATGAGCCTCACACATCCACGCGAATGCCGTCGAAAAACACGCGGTTGTCATCGCTGAGCCCGGCAGCCGCTACGTAACTGACTTCACGTACCAAGTCCGGCCGCACCCTGTACTTGCTTGATGAGCTACACTGTGTGAGCCTGCAGTGCGACGGTCACGTCAATGTGCCCGGCCGCGATGGCCCGACCGTTGACACCGGGACAACAGACGACGTGTTCCGGCTGTTTGAACTGGCCATCGAGTCACCAGTGCTCTGGTTCATCTGCCGGCTGCACGGCGACGAGATGAACCCTCGCCATCTGTTGCTGGGCTTGGACGGCACGACCGCGGGATCGATTTTTTCTGAACCCATCGGCAAGACTCGCACCGGAGAGATCTGAGAGAGGGACGTTGTGGCATTCAAGCTTATGTCGGGCACGTGCCAAACCTGCCGGTTGACCTGATTCAGCAGCTGAGCACCAAGTAGCAGCTGCTGTGGCTTCGGGCCTACGGGGGTCAAAACGGCTCTGTCCGAACCGCGACAGCCCGGCGGCGAACCGGGCCATTGAAGCATCCCAGGTAAACATGAAAACGCATTATCTTCAAATTTATAGCAACGAATGCATAAACTTCATCACGCATCATTTGGTGTTTCATGTCCTTACTGTTGGGCATTTCTCATTACCACACGCTGTGCCATAGCATGTCGAATCATTTGCTCGTTGGCTCATGCTTACCAGTATACATGCTGATAGGTATTCCGTTACATTTCAGGACTCTAAATATGGGCATACTTACATACATTAAAGAGGCGAAACAATTCTCCTATGACCCAATGGTCCAATCGTAACGTATTGTTCTAATCCGTCCGCTTTTGTTTTCAGAAAGTTGGCAGCCCCTTCAAATGCGTTCGCCGCATGTGGTCGTAACAGCAGGCCACGGCAAGGCGGCCGCCGCCGTCGCCACCGCCACCACATCATTCCCTCCGCCCGCTGTCCGGATGCAGGACAGTCCTTCGAAAGAGGGCAGACCGGAGGGCGGGCCGCTTGACCAGCACTCGACGCTCCCACTCGACATCTGGGCCCGTGTATCGAATACGGAGGCTCGGCCAGGAGCAACATGTGCATGGGATCACCCCCCCACCCCCCCTCCCCCTCCACGCTCTCGTTGGAGGTCGCAGATCTTGCCACATGTACTAAGTTGTACACCAGACAATACATTTTGACTCATTTGCTACGCATGGTTTGTTTGCAGCACGTGATTTGTCTTAAGGAAGTGAAAGCCTGAAGCAGTAATAACCAACGTACTCGTACGAGTTCATACGCAACAACATATAGTTTCTGCCACATGGCAACAAGTCGGGCAATGCCTGACTCGCATATCACACCTTAGATCGAGACGTTTTCGTACGACGGCTTAAGGAGCGCTCGGTAGCATCGTTTCCATGCGCGAAGCTCTTTTACACCGCTTGCCGCCCGTGGTTGGGCGTTACCTACGACAGCCGATGCCGCCCAGCACACAGTAGATGCAACGCCGGGCGTCGATTGACAGATATGCTCTGATCGGCTCACGCGTCACGAATTTAAGTTTTTAGGAAGAACTTTTGCTATGCCGTGTATTTTTGAGCTCCGGTGCAAAAAATATTCGTCCCACTTGCTTTTAATACTGACGACACACCCTAAATTGAACACAGTATTTTTTATTTCACGGAGTAGCAAATGCGGAGCTGTGGCCACAATACCCAGAAGCGTGCGCGGGCGTCGAATTGCAAACGGAGCCGTACGAGTGGCGCTCTTCCCAAAACGCAGAACGGCAATACGAGAACGTCATAGCGACGATGAGTGGCTCGCACGCCACATGAGGTTTAATGCTCACGAAGGCGGACGGTGTTCGCGGACTGCAGCACAGGTGAATCTCCTTACCGCCCGTCACATGCTCGTGTCACGAAGCAACGTGGCAAAACACAGGCGTGGGGCCTTCAACGCGCGCGCGGGGCCATCAAATACTGAGAGGCAGTAATAAGTAGCATTAACAGCAGCGTGCTGTCGAGACCTTGACGTGCAAAAACATATCGCCTCAACGCAGCGCCGGCTAAAATATTTCTTTACAACAGCTGCCACAATCCGGGCCACTAATGGCGCACCAGCAACAACCAGTTCACGTACAAAACACTGCTCCTGACACCATTCCGAAAAGCTACGCAACTCGCGCAGCGCGCTTTAAAACTGTGGCACATTTCCTTGCTGAGTTACATCCTCCAATGTTCCAAAGTTTCTTCAAAATACATAAATAGATGTAAGGAGCGAGATGGCGTAAGGCGCGCCAACAGCATGCAGTGCGCCGCTGGCACCATCGATTTAACATCCTTCCAATAATTCCTTTCGCGCGATCACTACAGACAAGCGACGACTCCCGGCTCTACACCAAGCCCCGTCTCCCAGCTTCCAGGCTATTGCTAAATGAGCATCGCCCGGTAGCATTTGGGGCTGGCACACCCTAACAACAGATTAAGAAACAATTAACACAAGCTGGCGCGAGAGATGCCAAACAAAGCCGGCATAACATAAAGGTGCAGACACCAGGTTGCTGCATGGCATACGGCTGCGCTGTAACATCACGGCCAACGTCCGTGAGGCCGTACGTCATACTGGCACGCTGAGAGCCGCGGGGTGAGACAGCGACTTTCTGCTGGAGATATTCTCCAACCATGGTGCGCAGCCCGCTCTTTCAGACCGATTGTTGACAACGGGACGCCGTCGGCAGCTAGAGTATAGGCGTAGTACCACTGTTCGGTTCTAGTCTAGGAGTGGCACGGTGTAAACAATACAGTGGTCGGTTCTTAACTACGAGTGCCACAACAAACGAGAGCGCATGGGCGCGCCCAACCCGTTTAAAGTAATACAGAACGCTCGCGGCTGCAGCGTATTAGCCTAGCCAAGCCATGCACCTCATCCATTCCCCATCCAAACAAGCCACCCACGCTGCTTGTTCGCAAGCGTCCTTATCACATCCCGTCTCAGGCATGACACACATCTCCATGCCGCCGAGTGCCCGGCTCTGCATGCTCCATGCCGCCGAGTGTCCGACCCTGCACGCCCTACGCCGCCGAGTGTCCGGTCCTGCACGCTCCACGCCGCGAAAAGCCGACCCCACAATCCACAACAAAAACTTTGAACTAATCATACGCTTTCAACGCAGGGTCCGCCTTGAAGCCGTCAGGTCTGCTACCGCGGCTGACACCACAGTGCGTCGTATACGCTTACAGCGACACGATTGTAGCTCCACCCGACACGAAAACACGGAAACAAATTATAAGGAACCAGACACGTGCCTGGACTACGAAGCGGACGCCAGAGCACGTGAGGTCCAGCATAGGCGGACCTCACGCGATCCGGGATCAGCCCTGGAGCCCAGGCTGTGGAGTCCAGGCTGTGGAGTCCAGGCTGTGGAGTCCAGGATGTAGTGTCCGGGCTGCAGAGTACAAGCCGTAGAGTCCAGGCTGGAGACTCCAGGCTATTTAGTCCGGGCTGTGGAGTCCAAGCTACAGAGTTCGGGCTGCAGAGTCCGGGCTGTAGAGTCCAAGCTACAGAGTTCGGGCTGCAGAGTTCGGGCTGTAGAGTCCAGGCTATAGAGTCCAGGCTGTAGAGTCCAGGCTCCAGAGTCCGGGTTGTAGAGTCCAAGCTGCTGAGTCCGGGCTATAGAGTTCAGGTAGGCAGGCTGTAAGGTCTGCTGCCTGCTGACGAGTACCGTCACCTGCCCGGCCCGCCCGCTGCTCGTGTGTGGGGCGACGGGCGTGGCTACGGTGCTCTGCCGGAAGCCACGCCAGTGCCCGCCCTCCGGTCGCGTGGGCCCCCGCCGGCGAAGTGTGCACTGGCCGGCTCCTCACAAATCACTGTCCCAGCGCTCAGTCTGGAGTTCGTCTGGCTTCGGTGGCGCCGGCAGACCGCAAGCCGCAGATAGAATACAGGCGACGCGAAGCCGAGAGCGACTGTTGTCTCTGAGCGGGAAGTGGCCGCTGTTTCCGTTCACCACCGTGTCATGCGCAGAGAAGCACGATTGTAAGCTGTCCAGCCCCCTGCGGTGGCGCGCGGGCTGCAAGTCCCAATGATACCCCCCCCCCACCCCCCACCCTTCCCGCCAAAGGTCGCGATGGGTTGGCGGGCTTTTTGTCTAGAGATTCAATGCTCCAGGCTCCGATGAGCACGGGCCCGAGAATTTGGGGCTCCGAGGACTTCGGGCACCGAGGGCTCATACGTCTGGCCTCTAGGCTGCGAGGACTCCACGTTTTCGGAGCTACACCCCTAGAACTTCATGCTTCAGGCTCAAAGCCCGAAAAAAAACGGTGCTCTCCGTTTGTAACATTCTGCAGTTGCGAGACTCCGACCGCTCAGGTCCCCAGGCTCTAAGCTTCGAGGACACCAGCAAACCCGCTGTAAACGAGCAGCAGCAGAAGCGACAGCAGCGGCAGCAGCTTCTCCTGCACCGACCCGCTACTCGCGCTCGAGAACAGCAGTTTTCCGACCTGCTTGCAGTTCCACTGGAACACGCGGACGTTGTCGACGCCCACGCTCGTGCCGCCCCCCTCCGTGATGGCCTCGAACGTCAGCCGGTTGCCGCCAGGCGGCAGCGTCAGCGTCGCCGTCGTCCAGTCCGTCCTGCTCTTGGTCTGCCACAGGACCACCTCATCGTCGTCGATGACGGTTAGCGTGGCGTTACCGCCGGCGCCGCCGCCGAGGCGCACGTCGACCGCCACGCAGCCCTCGGCCGGCACGAACATGCAGGGGGTCTCCAGGCGCGCCACCTGACGGCGTCCGTCGCCGCTGCCGCGGACCTCGGCCGCGTAGCCTCGGCCAGCCGCGCTCACGCGCTCCCAGCCGGACGAGCGGCCCGACAGGGTGAGCGTCGGCGCGTGCCGGTAGTCGCACCAGCCGGCGTCGAAGTCGCAGCTGTGCACGTACGCCGCCGCAATGGTCACCTGTGTCGTGATGGGCACGCAAGTCGGCACGTTCTGCCACCTGGCGCCGTCGCAGGTGGCGAAGGCGTTGGCCTTCTTGTCGGCCTTCGTGTCAGCATTCTTGATGAAGTAGCCGACGTCACAGCGGTAGAAGGCCTTGCCGTGCGGTGACAGGTCGCTGGTGAAGAGCAAGTGACCGTTGGCCACCGTCGGCGGCGGCTTGCACTCCCGCACCTCCATGCAGTTGAGGCTCACGCTGTCGAAGCGGCAGCGGCAGAGGTACGCCGCCGGGTCGTCGGGCGCCGGCAGGCACGTGCCGCCGTTCTTGCACGGGTTCGTCGCGCACGGGTCGCCGCCCTCACCGCCGGGGGCTGGGATAGGCTCGCACTGGACGCTCCTGCCGGGCGCGTCCGTCTCCTGGCCAGCGGCGTCGACGGCGCGCCAGCCGCGCACGAACTCCAGCCGCTCCGCCGGCGTCGACGACACGAGGCTGCCCTGTCCCGGCAGAACGCTGGTCAGCCGCCAGCGGCCGTCGGCGCCCACAGACAGCTTCTCCGTGAGCGAGGTGTACTGGCGCCGACCGTTGACGTAGGTCGACGACGGTGTCAGCACGTCGAACGAGTCGCCGCCCGCCGGCCCTGTCACGCGCCACCGGTCCGTCGAGCACTGGCCAAAGTGTTTCGGCACGCAGCTGACGTTGAGCGTCGCCAGCGGCGAGCGGCCCTCGTCGCAGTCGCGCACGAGCCACGCGCCGGCGCCGGCGCTCCAAGGCTCGTCCTCGAACTCACCCGTGGCCAGGATGTTGCCCGACTCCGGCCACGCCTCGTAGGCGTGCTGCACGCGCTCCGGCTTCTTGTCGTCGGGCAGGGTGGCGACGACCCAGCGCTTGACGGCGGCCGCGGTGGGCTCCCGCAGCAGGAACTGGTCAGGCCGTCCGATGTGCCGGTACGCCACCAGCGACACGTTGTTCGGCTCAAGTACGTACGTGCCCAGAGCGGAAATCACCTGCAGCTGGTACGGCGAGGTGGTGGCTGGATTCAGGTCGCCGAAGTAGAGCGTGTCGGAGTCACACGTGCCTGAAACGGGCCGCCGGGTGTGAGAGTGGCGCTGCCCGACCGTTGGGAGGGCAGCAACATGGGGCAGAACCGATGGCAACGGCATTGCTGGAACATATAAATCAATACAAAGATATATAAATACATATACACATACACACATCCCCGTATATATATATATATATATATATATATATATATATATTATACCGCTATCCACACACGTGTTCCGTGACACACACACACACACACACACATATATATATATATATATATATATATATATATATATATATATAGATATAGATATAGATATATAGATATATAGATATATAGATATATAGATATATACATTCAATCATATATCCTGATCTCAATGATGAGAATGTCCTGTCCACTGATGCGCGGGCCGACGCAGACTTGGGTCCCACTCGGACGCCGCGATATTTCACGCCGTCAGTGCCGAGGACATTTTCGGGAACGGAAGCTGCCGGCTCACACCGCGGTTGCGGACAGCTATAGCCGCGCTCAGCACTGTTACGGCGAGAGTGAGCGCGAGCATCCGCGAATCAGGGGTCATTGCCAGCGTTTATCCATGCCGTGTCCATGCCGCGTGATTTCCACTGGGAATGGAACATTCGCTTACTGCGGGCCTCGGGCACGGTGGCCGGATCCCGACGTAACAGCATGTCCGCAGCAAGTAAAATGACCTCGCCAAAAGTCCCGCGGAGGCATGAGCGACCTTGAGCGACCTTGAGCGACCTTGGGGTCCGTGCCAGAGCCGGCAGCGCACGTCAATAAACACGCTCCGGCACGGCACGACGAATGACACCAGTCATGGTGGAAATTCGCCGAGCCGGACGAGGGTCGGAGATTTTACTGAAGGTCGGCTCCACCCGACTCGTATTACTTTACGGGGCCTTGAGGTATTCCAGCGACAATAAACCACACGGTTTTCCGGTCTGGTCTGACTTTGATGGACTGATGGAACTCTATGTGCTGGGCTGAACTTTGAAGATTCACTGATTAGCCCGTAGGTGCAACCATTGAACTTTCCTGAAAATTAATTCGCGGCTATGGTCAGATTAGGACTAAGGTGGCCAGCAGTTCAGCAAGGGCGCTATCAGATCAGAAACGGAGAGTGCCAGGTATCGTGTGTGTTTGTGTGTGTGTCGATGTGGAAGGCATGAGCGTGGTGTCGTTCGAACAGTGTCCGTGTATCAAGGGTATCTCGATAGGAAAACTTCAAGTTCCCATATCCGTATGGTACTTCCTTGCGCCCAGAACTGCTACAAACCAGCACCCCTTGTAGTACCATCGTGCCAGGAGTGGGTGCTCCGTGGCTGCCGTGCTAGTGAGCAGGCATTCAGTAAGACCAATACCATTAGGTGCGAGCAATGCCCGTATCATTGCGCTGGAATACATAGCAACTCAACCCTGCGAACCGCACTTGGGAACCGAGCCAGATATCAGATCAGCACTCTGCGGCCGGACAGAGGGCTGAGAGGTACCGGCGGGAGCAGGTGTGAGCCCGGGGTTTCCCCGATTCCATAGGCAACCCAGGACAGAGGGTTGAGCGGTGCCGGCAGGAGCAGGGCTGATCCCGGGGTTTCCCCGATTCCACCGGCAGCACAGGACAGCGGGCTGGAGGGTACCGACAAGAGCAGGTGTGATCCCGGGGTTTCCCCGAGTCCACCGGCAGCCCAGGGCAGCGGGCTGGAGAGTATCGACAGGAGCAGGTGTGAGCCCGGGGTTTCCCCAAGTCCACCGGCAGCCCAGGGCAGCGGGCTGGAGGGCATCGACAGGAGCAGGTGTGATCCCGGGGTTTCCCTGAGTCCACCGGCAGCCCAGGGCAGCGGGCTGGAGGGCATCGACAAGAGCAGGTGTGAGCCCGGGGTTTCCCCGATTCCACCAGCAGCCTAGGACAGCGGGCTGGAGGGTATCGACAGGAGCAGGTGTGAACCCGGGGTTTCCCCCATTTCATATGCAACCTGGGAAATCATCGACGGGAGCCGAAAAGTCCCAAACGTGTCCTGGACGTTGAAGCTCTCATTGTCACCTGGACAATTAACTGCTACTTAACTTCACCAGTCTCAGAGTCTTCAAATTATGTCATATGTCACATCCATGTGATCTTTACACTGCATTCATATTTGGGGGCGCCTATATTTTGCAGTTGGAGGGGAGTCGGTCCACCAAACAAAAACAGTATTGCCTTCTAGGGCACACCCGCGAAAATCAGTTGCATCAGATTCTGCTTTATATCTCTTCCACAACGGCAGGCATTTGCTCAATACGCTGTAGGAACTAATTCTGCGAAGTTCTGGCTTTGACATAAGCCCTTAGAAACCAGCGCTTTTTCAGCCGTGACAGTACTGATTGTACTACTCTCGATCTAGCCGAACCGTGGCTAGTGCTACATGCGACACAGAGTGTAACATGGACAAGTGTTACATGGTTACATGAGCGCACATGTCAGCCATGAAAAGATACACTCGTCCGACATTCCCGCGCCCTTCCTAGCTCATAAGTGCATGAAGCGGGACATTTTCAGCCACACCGTTCTTTACATGCTTTAATCGGATGACATTGATGCTATTGACGCTCAGTATTACCGGCCAGGGGTCTCTTCCAGGCGTCAAATATTGAAGCGACGCGACACACGTATGATAATCCGCGGTGGGCGACCGACGCCGAATGCGTCATGCAATCGATATTTTGTTTCAGTAACTCGACGCAAGGTGGCAGAGCGCGCTTTAAGGACAACTGTCCGGACCACGCCCGCCGTTCCTCGGCATCCATTGAACTTCGCCCGACAATATGCACAAATATCCGTGAGGAAGACGGAAGTTTTTCTGAGCTGGAAAGGGAAAGCGGTAGAAATTTTTGATTATCCCTTTGCGTCAGCCCAAGGAGGATTAATGTACCATTTTCAGTAGGTTAGCGGTTCAGACCTTACCTTGCCTGTCCCCTCCCCCCCCCCCCCCCATCACCTCCCGCGCCCTGCAAGCCCTCGACTTGATAACTTGAGCATCTATCAGCCTATGTAAAACCTACGTAAAGAAAACGGCAGCAGACAGACCAAAAGCTCCCTCCTTCCCCCAAAAAAGAACAAAAAAGCAGACCAAAAGCCCCCCTCTCCCCAAAAAAGCAAAAAACAAAAAAAACAAACTGGCAGCCCATTCGATCGGGTTCACTTCCAGCCGACCGCCCAAGTGAAATCGTGCGTGATCACAAATTAATGAGCCAAGGCCACCCCAGTCACGCGTCACGGCATATAGACCAGCAGCCGCTGTCGGGTACCACGCAGCGCTCCTGCTCTCCGCACGCCAGAGCCCGCGCGCAACAGCTGGTGTAGGGAGAGGCATCCGAAGGTCGTCGCGTCCGTGGCCGCCAGCGAGGGCGTACGTATGGACATAGCAGCCCCCGGGGGTTACCATGTGCTCCCTCTTACCACATTTATGGCATGCGTTAATGGGTACAAGATAAGACGTTGACAGTTAAAACCCCATGCAAACATGTTGAAAAGCAATATCGAGATCCAACGATGCCTTTTTACGACCCGCAAAAAACGAGATCATGTAATGCTGTTTTAGGGCGCGCAAGAAATCGTGCGCTTGTGGCACGTCAAACTCCGTTTCCAGTTAAAAAGAGTTGTACCTTCCCCCGCTCCCGAAATCCTGCGTAAGTTTCTGATCGCTAGTAACTATCTCAGATGCTCGTTCTGCACCGCATCCTCCCGCGTCGTTGGATAATGGTATGTCCAGCCATGAACAGTCTGCCGCCAAACTGAGCGACCTCTGTTCGGGAGTTCCCGGTTCGAATCCACACTCGGGTAATTTTCGCCCGTCCCACCCACACCACAGCGTGGCGGCACTAGTGCCCTTCGTACTTATACTGGCCGTTGAATCATAACATAGTATAATAGTATTGGCATATCACGGCAGCATATTAATGATTAACAATAATGTAACATGTAAATTAAATAACAATATAATAACAGCATAATCATACTGAAGATGGTGAAGCGTTACTCGCAGAGTAGCGCCACAACCGGTCTGTCCGCTCCTAACGAGGACCGAGAGGGGGGAGGGAGGAGGAGGAAGGGGGACGGGTTCCAGACGGCCGCCATTTTGCACACAATGCCGGCGCCGAGGCGGCGGTCGCAGAAGGGCCAGTCATGCTTCCGCGGGTGGAAATTCCCGGCACGGACACGCGACCCGGCGGCAGGGCAGGGCCATGACGCCGGATTAGCTGGACAGCCACGGTACCTGGGCCCGCTTTCTTAGAAAACCATTCCAGACGAGGGATACGACACGGAACATTTATCGCCTTGCAATCAGCATTTCATTTAAATAAAAGATACAGTTTAAGCCCAATAAGTTATGCCTTCTTGACTTGTTAAGCCCGACCGCAAGTTTTGTATTTCCCGTTGTCGTACCACCTGGAATTGTTGCACAATACTGTACACTCACAATGCACAAACACGGATATATATATATATATATATATATATATACATATATATATATATATATATATATCTATATCTATATCTATATCTAATATTTCGGACCGCGAAACCTATCGCATCACATCATGTTATCAATAGACCCCATTAATAATGTATCACGTTACTAATAGACCCCGAAGGACCGAACGACGCTCATGATGCATTCCAAAGCGTTGAAAAGCGCCAGAACGTTCTCGCTTGAGGCTTGACTTTTGTGCTATCAACACTGTTCTATGGAGTTTGAACTCACGGGATCTAGATCAAACCTTGTAACAAAGAAAACTCAACTCAGTTCTTCCCGAATTTTAAAGCCACCAGCCCAAGATGCCAATACATTTATCCTGGTCAGATTGCACATAACTCCAGAGATCCTTACCACATCCAACCAGCAAGTAACAAATTGCATCCCGTCATGGATTGATTCAAAACCGCCTTCAGGCTTTCTGGCCTCACACGAACCTATTTACCTTGGACAGATATTACCCCTAATAGGTATATACTTTGATCGTTTATTACATGCATTCACCGGTCACCCAACCTCTGGGTTTAGCCTCACTGACAAACTCGCTGTCAGTTTGGACAAAACAAGGATGAGGATGATATGGATTAAAACTAATGTGGTGATTGAGAGGACACAAATGATAAGGAAAAACAGATTTCACACGACAGTTTCTGCTCCGATGACTCTTTGATGTCGGCGCCAGGTGCCTTGCATGTATTTATACTACACATGCGAGAACTCAGCACTGGCGTACTGCCAACCGGTAAATCATTCGCGGAATTGAACTACATACGCATGCAATTGGATCAGATGTGTTAAGCCCCGATTGCAAGAATTTCCAAATTTGCCTCTCATGGTTTATATTTTTCCGTTCGAAATTACCCTGTATAATCAACTGTTCCTGGACCGCCTTGCTAAGCACTACATCCCATGTTATCTTCAGCAAACGCATTTAGTTTTGTCTGCCTGCGCCTGAATACCCATTCAGCATCCCTCGTCAGCAATTTCTTTTTGACAAAGGGTGCACTGGCAACCTCTAAAATTTTACTTTGATAAGAATACGTTATTCAAAACGCTCTGCTCGCGTGAAAATCTGATAACCTTGACGTTCGAGCATAGGATACAGTCCAGTGGTCGGCGGCAGCGCCAGCCGACCCCTCCCCTACCGATGCGGCCCACTCGTTGGGCCATTTAATCTTACTGGCACACACCACAATTACCCACAATCTTACTTGAAAACACTAATACAGTTAAAGTTTACAGCCTTCTAAAATATCTTGAACTTGAAATTTCATTGAAATGACTCGCATATTTTATGCCTTGGAAGACTAAGGTGCGCTTTTAATGCCACGTGGTGTAACAGCTCGCCTGCGCCTTTGTTGCACGCTATTTGTGAGGCAACTTGCCAGAGAGGCACTCCTCAATTTGTGCGAATGCAGAAGACATCGCAGCTGTGAAGTGAAATCACATTTCACCATGCAGGTGGGACCAATGCGGCTGCTGGCCGGCGCTAAGTAATGACCGGCGGGTACCTCTCGCCCTAATTGGTCTTCCCGAAGGAAGTGCACCACGTCCTGCTTCCAGGCTCCGTCGTTTGCGCTGCCCGAGCCCCTTCCCGGGGAGGGGGGGGGGAGTGGCTGGGTCACGTCTACATCCACCACTCGCACCCACAACTCGCTGCGCGTGCTGTCGGCGCCAGACCAGCACTTGCATTCTGCCTTCGAATCAGGTGTGTAGTTTCCTATTCGTTTGGAGGGAGAGGGGACTTCAGCCACCCTCTCAGCTTGGGCTCCAGTCCCTCATCTTGAAAAGAAAGTGGGGCAAATTTGGGGACAAATTAGGTTTTTTACCTATTTGAGGAGAGGTAGGTTGAGTTGTTGTTCACCTTTCGACCCCCTCTCCCCGCAACTTATTGTGCGAAATTGCGCCCTGCTTCGAACGTACTGACCAGCTTTGAAACGGCAGGGAATCAAGTTATACAAAATCGCTTGTTAAAGCATTTGATCTTTACAAAATTTCGCCTGGTCAAGCAGCTTGCACGCAAATTATAAGCGATTTACATGTCAACTCGCCACGAACTGGGCTTCAGATTGCTGAAAACGGCACAAACTTCCAATGAGGGGTTGCAAGTAACAGCTTTATCAAGAAACATGGCGGAGGCGAACGCGCTAGGCCGCCCAAATTAAAAATTAAATCGTTCAAGACTCCCTCGGCTTGCAACCCCGCTCAACAAAAGTAGCCAGGTAGGTAGTGAATCGGCTGAACGTGCAGCCATTCTGCAGGGCTCCAATGCATCCTTCGCTGTTGCCCTGCGCGGGGCGGGCCGTCCCAGGTGGGGACAGTTCCAAGCCCAGTTAGCAGATACTGGTTGCGCCATTATTGTTTACATCGCTGCTGTGTGGAGCAAGGCCGGCTTTTGAGGATCATTTACTTCAAGGATCAATCATCGCGGATGATGTTTTGGAATGCAAGTACCGTAATCACTGCATGCCTAATAACAGGGACGCGGAGCGACATCGAAAATTGTTGTGGCCTCTGTGTCAGACATGACATCGAATGTTTTTAAGAAGTTTCGAAAAGTTTCGGTAGGAATAGATCTAGCATCACATCTGCTCACAAAGGCACGGTCTGGCTTATAAGCCGCCAGCCACAATTTTATCTCAGAGATTACGAAAAGCCCTGACAAAAGGTGTGGAAACCTAGAAACCACACGCCGAAAACTTTCCAATTTTGTTTTAGAAATGCTCAGAGGAATTCTTATAAATACGGCTATCGTGCATAGCATCAAACCAGCAAAAATATAGCATCAAAGCATCATAAATAATATCATCATAAATATAGCATCATCATCATCATAAATATAGCATCAAAGCATCATAGCATCAAACCAGCATCAAACCAGCGAAATGCGTGAGACTGGAAGGCGTCAGCGTGAGAATGTGACAGCAGTTTTTCTCCGGCACGGGCAAGCACTTGCTGAGTATTGTCAAGCTGCAGCTGGGAGACTGGATCAATACCTGCCGCATGGAAACATACCAATGTGCCGGCGACCATAGCGATTGCCTGTGTACTCCACCAAGCACCATCTATACGGGGACACCGGCGCGGCCATCGCCGTGGCACGTCCACTCGACAGTATTAGTGCTGTCAGGGACAAAGGCGTGAAAGGCAGCAACATATAGTGGACGAAGTCTCCACCCTTTCACCTCCAGGCCTCTCAACATGACTTGACGTCATATCTCGCCTACGACACTTAAAGTCAGCTGACAGCAGTCACGCGAGTTCTGAGTCAGTGTGGCCCTCTGGTTCTGGGAATGATCGGACGGCGACAGCCGTGTGGCCAGCGGGCGCCGAATGGCTGTATCAATGCAACAATCATGCTATAAGCGGTGTGCTGTGAGCGACCGCATCGATTTCACCACCGGGCGCCCACAAACGTGTTTGTGGAAATCAAAACGAGGGAATGGTCTTTGCGAAGACTGTGCCACTTGCTCAATGAGGTCATGGAGTGACCTATGGGTTGCCGGGTTACTGAACCCAATGTTCCACTTTGCAATGCAACAAATCTACCATCATGCACTCAAAAGTGTGCTCTGTACGTCAGTCAGACTGCCAGAACGTCGAAATGGTCTTTAAAGAGTCGCTGGACCTTCAGCGCCCGTGGCGTGTGCTCTTCTCGATGTCGCACCGCACTGCGCATCAGCTCGTCGAAAGGCACGAGATGATCCTGACATCGATCCTGACATCGTCCAAAAGTCACACACACCGCCGCATGAACGCCCGGACGGAGGCGGCCCACCATCGCCGTCAAAACGGGAGCAGTCACCCTGAGCCTGCACATCCTCTGTGCACGTGAAAATCCCGGGGCAATCTTCCTTCCAAGTATGGATTTGGTGTCCACCAGCAATTTTCACGAAGTTCTAGCCCTGTTAAGAGGGCATATCAGTAAGTCATGATTCATATCTTCATGATCCATGCCATAACCAACGTCCTCTAATGAATCATGACCTTATCCGCGATGCATAGCCTGCTCATGATTCATGCCTTAAAGACGCGGCGTCTCTTAAGATATGCTTTCGGGGGGGGGGGGGGGGGGGGGGGCGAGTAAAAACTTGCGAAAAAAACTTTGAGCAAAAAACCTGGCGATGAACACAACTACAAAACGCTAAATTTTCCAAGATAATCATTGCTTGCTTGATAACGTCATTTAACCAGTACCCCGTCGCAACGCGAAGGTCGATTATTTTCAGCAAATTCCCAACTCATGCCGAAACGTCATGAGCGCTATTGCACGCGATAGCTATGGCATATCGCGCTAGTAGCGTGATATGTAGCACGCCTGGTCTCGTCTGTCACAAAAACCTCGCTGGCGGGCTCCCGCGAGCTTTTCACACCACAAATGCGGAGTGGTGTGGGTAACCTGAGTCCCATGTGACCACCCCGTCCGGACACTGCCTCCCTTTCACTCTCTGCGCTGGCGGCGCCTCTGTCAGAGGTCTGCGCTCAACGGAACGGGTACTGAAGCGCGCTGCCAACTCTCGCCCCCGGCGCGCCAACGCATGCGGGTGGGGAGTCCCGCCGCCCAGTCACGCGCATTCCCGGCCAGGGACGCACGAACAACGCGGAAGCGAGCTGCAAAACATGCAGCCAAACACGCTGCCCTAAATTCAACTGCATTTTAATGTACGTTGCCTAAAAAGAAACGACCAGAAATAATTATTCCACCGCCCAATTGCGACACTACCCCTGCCTCCCACTCCTCTCCCCGTTCTTAGCAGATAACATCACTGGCTCACACGAGTGGCCCTCACCTTGCACGGCGGTCACCAGCGCAGCCACGCACATAAGCAGGTGCCACATGTTGGTGTGTCTCCGCCGGCGCTCCGTTCTCCGATTCACCACCGGCCCAGCGTCGGCCGTACTCCCGGCGTTGCGGTGCGGCGCGGCCCACTATCGATCCCCGGCGCCGTGACGTCACAACACGCCACAGGTTCTGGTCGTGTTCGCAGCGAGCTCGCGCGAGCCGCGCCCGTCCGAGCCGATGACGAGGCGGAGACAGACGTGGGTCGCAGCGGTCCGCGACGCTGAGACGCCTGGCGCGGACGAGCGGAGCACGAGCTGGAAATAGTCGCGGCGGTCAGGGCCCTCCAGTCTCAAGGTCACGCGTCGCTACAGGGGCGACACCAGCACCGCGGCGGGTGGGGCTTGGGAAGCACCCCGACCACCCAGTGGTGATTTCCGCGCAGACATGTCTGCCATGCGCCTCCTGGTACTGGTTGACGGTGTGATGCATGGAATGACGTGTAGGACGTTTGAGCTTTTGATGAGCTCAAGTCGGAGAAAGCGCGGTCCCTGGAGTCGAGCGATTTTTCACGTTGCCCTCTAATCCGATAGCGGCGCGGGTTTGTTGCGAACACTCGTCCGTCCGCCGCTGAGTGAGCTAGGCACAGGGGCATTAGGACAGGGGACGTGTCCACGCCTACATGCCTGTTGATCAAGTGCCCCGACGTATGTCCTCGAACTGCTCCGGTGTATGTCCTCGAACTGCTCCGGTGTATGTCCTCGAACTGCTCTGGTGTATGTCCTCGAACTGCCTCGGTGCCGCCGCCAAGCTTTTCCTATGCCTACGTTTCGTCCTTCCTTTCGGCCAATCTACGTTTACCGGTCTAGCATCATGCAAGCGTGCAGCAGCTGTTGTAAAAGAGTGGCAGGCGCAAAAACGCCGATGGCAATATTTGCCAGCTAATGTAAGTGGCATGGGATAGTTATTGGTTAGCAATACCCCACACAGAGGTAATGCCAACCGTTGGGAACGGCCGCGGTCCGCGTCAGTTACTGTAAGATGTAGAGTAGGTCACTGCCAATTTGGATCTTGTATTTATGTCCGACCAAGAAGCGCTGGCACATATCAGAGGGGCGTGGTTCCTCGCGTTTAAGGTAGTATAGTTCCGGTGGAATTTGGCAACGCGGTAGAATTCGTTAATGAAGCTGAAACTCTTGACTTCATTACTGTGAAAAAGACTGTTGTCGCTGACGACTTGTTCCTCCGATCTAAAATCACTCGTTGTCGTATACACGTGGTAGAACAGGTCTGAAATAATAAATTACATGCAAAGATTAAAGCCGATAGTAGTGTATATTCGAAACCTTCTTTGGTCACAAATTACAGAGAAGCACCACGGAAAGCAATACGTTCGGTGACGGAATTCTATTTCATGACCTTGATCTCTATCGTCTTTTTAAATGGAATTTGTCATGCTCTTCCTGAATAGAACCTCAAAGACCACCGTTATCTCAGCTTTGCTTTGGGTAGCAGTGTTGGTATCGGTTTTGGTGACTCATTTGGCTACAGTGTCGTCATATTCTGTCAACATCTACCGCTGCTGCCCGCAGATCGATGCATCACGCGTGCAATGAGGATGTACTACTCCGCACATTTGCTTTTATGGAGAACATGGCAGTGTCAGGACACGGATGTCTCTGAACTGGCTGTACGGGACACGGATGTCTCTGAACTGGCTGTGCAGGGCACGGATGTCTCTGAACTGGCTGTGCGCGACACAGATGTCTCTGGACTGGCTGTACAGGACACGGATGTCTGAACTGGTTGTGCAGGACACGGATGTCTCTGGACTGGCTGTACGGGACACGGATGTCTGAACTGACTGTGCAGGACACGGATGTCTCTGAACTGGCTGTGCAGGACACGGATGTCTGAACTGGCTGTGCAGGACACGAATGTCTCTGACCTGACTGTGCAGGACAAGGATGTCTCTAAATTGTTCTACAGGACACTGGTGTCTCTGAACTGGCTGTGCACGACACAGATGTCTCTGGACTGGCTGTACAAGACAAGGATGGGTGAACTGGCTGTGCAGGACACGGATGTCTCTAAATTGTTTGTGCAGGGCACGAATGTCTCTGAACTGGCTGCGCAGGTCATGGGTGTCTGAACCGGCTGTGCAGAACATGTATGTCTCTAAATTGGTTGTGAAGGACACTAATGTCTCTGAACTGGCTGTGCACGACACGGATGTCTCTGAACTGTCTGTGCATGACATGGATGTCTGAACTGGTTGTGCCCTCCCGCACACATTTCAGCACGCATTGGTGTGGGGCACATGTTTGCACGGTCGTAGGGGGCTCCACTACCAATCACAGTTCGATCTTGTCACCAAACGCGTTTTCCGGTTATGATGATATTGTGTTTGTACTCTGTACTGTACTTATGATGTTTTCAATGTTTCCACCTGTATTGGAGCATTGGAAATTTTGCGATTGTTTACACCGCCATGATCCACAGAATATGCCAGGTGCCCCCAAATTTATGCGATTTTCCGGTTTGCCGGCCTGCATATTTTTTGATAGAAATTAGTTGAAACATTTTTTGAAGGATATACTTCCCAGATCAGAGCCTAGGCAAAGCGCAGTCCTCATTATGTGAGCCCTGCCCCCCTCCATCCCATCATGAAATTCCAGGCCACCGGCATAATTTGGAGGCGAAAATTAATACGCGCCCGCTTGGCCGGTTGAAAACCCTTTGCTCGGGTAAAGGTCAACTTGACCCCTAAGATCCAAAAAGCTAAGATATTTAGAGACACCAAATGTACAGGGTGGGCTGAGCTTTACGTGAACCCACTTGTGCCAAAATCTTAGGTAACTAGACTACGTCTTGGGGTCAACTTAGGTCAAACAGCGACAAACTCTAAATTGGTGTTTTAAGTGCCCCAGAGCTACTCATGCAACCCATGTTAAGTTAGATACCTATTCTAAGCGAAGGCCCAATAGTGCTCATCTAAGGTCAATGACCTTTTTGACCTGTATAAGGTCATTGGTACCATATGCCTACGAGACGGCTCCTATTTTGCCAAGTTACCTATTCTCACGTTTAAAAAATCCATAGGACATGTCTGCTGCGGTTCCTGTCGTTAATGGATTACAAATGAGTACTAGAAACTACCCCGTGTGTCAAGCTCTGAAGTAAAAAAGATTAGTTTTAACCTAGGTTCGAGAACCATTCTGAAAAAAAACATTTGGGAGTGAGTCAACTTATCCCCCCCCCCCCCCCGAGCGCGTATTGAAGGGAATGTTTCACATTTAGACATTGAAGCAAACATAAGATATTATTAAACAATATTACTTATAACTACTGGTGCACTTTTAAGTGTAAAAGACTGCTCTAGACAGCACAATTTTCTGTTGAGCAACTATGCTCCTCAATGCGTCATGGTTTGATCACGTCATCGTACCTTGCACAGCATTGATAGTGAACCAATTGACGCCCGTTGTATCTGAAAACCGTGCGCACGAGCACCAGATATGAACATCTTGACAATTTTAGTTGTCTTGGCCTTGATTGCCGCATGACTTATGAAGTGGTAGGATTTGAATGGCGTTATTTTTGCGTCATGAATGCCAAGGTGACTTTGAAATACCCTCCCACAGCTACACTGTCATATAGATGAAAAGTGTGTCTACGAATGGAAGCGAAACGGGAAAGTTAACTACGTAAATGACAAACCAAACTGCAGGATTATTCTTCGAAAGAAAGTGTGCGCGCATATGCATAACATGTACGCTGAGTGAAATGCACAAATTTGTACTTCTCTGTGCTGCGCTCCGTAGCCCGCTAGAAAAAATTGCGTCCATAAGATGTATCTTCGCTAACAAGCAATGTGGTCAGTGCGGCTGCGAAACATGTCCTGTGGCGTCGGGATTTGACCCTGTTCATGGCATTACAGATTTCCACATCCTGTCAGGTATTTATCGGTCCCCTCACTTTGATGCAAGAGTCTTTGCTCTGAAAGTTCTCAAGGAAATGCAATACACCCTTGAAGTGAGTGTTCTACATTACGATTGGGTCTGAATTGAAATGCTTTTTTGAAGATTATTCAGTGCAGTTCAAGGCTCTGCCCTTCTTAAGGCCTTAGAACCCTCTAATTCTTGGGCGACACGTCCGCTACAATGCCCGAGTTCACTTTCCTCAAAGTTTGAGGTTCCTACGTCACGACCTTCAGGTCAAATAAGGTAAAACAAGGTCAAACTCCGTTTGGTGTCCAAAGTGTACCCAGAACCTAGATACCTGTTCTAAGCAAAAGTTCACCTGCTCACTGAATGTCATGGCATATCAGGTGCTGTTAATGAGTACAATCATATAAGACCGCTAGTTGAACCTTACATTTGAAGAAGCGACACAGGTTGCACTAGCCAGTATGTCCCTAAAAACGAAATTATGACCTAGGCCATTTTGGGTCAGTGACCTATTCTGACCTTTAGGGAGTTTATGAAAGACGTATAATGCGGTTTCCGTTATCAATAGATTCCAAATGTGCAACAGAGATGACCTCATGCTGTAAGCCCGAGAGTGAAAAAACAGGGTTGTTTTGACCTTGGTCTGACCTTTACACCTGATCCCAGTTCAATGGAATCTGCTCACTCAATTGTTTGCTTACCTCAAAAGGTATTTCGGAAATGTATGGCTTGGTCTAACACTCCGTTGTTGCATCAGGTTAAACGATTCCCTAGAAACTGACCTCGCTGAACCTATGGTCTGCGTTTGACCTGCCGTAGGTCAGCTACCTTACAAAGTACATCTAAATTTGTGACACAAAACGATTCGCTATTCAATAGTCTACATAGATGGAAAATTTGGCGCGGCTACGCCGCGCTGTTGGAAAACCATTTTGAAAAGATCACTGGGGAGGGCGTCAAATTGATCCCGACCCGAGCGCGTGTCAACAGGAGCCTCTTTGTTGACCTGCCGCATCAACCTGGATCGCTGGATTGTTCAGGTGTTGTTCCTATTGGTCTTGGGTTTTCCCATTTTATCGAAGGACCCACACTATTGACGGCCCCTTAAATGTCCATCAGCCGGGGTACTCTTGATCTCTCCAAGGTTCTCCAAATTGGTCTTGGGCTCTTGAAATGAAATCAGAAGGACCTTACGCTGTCGTCGAAATCCCGCATGTGCTTGCGAACACAGCGCTTCGGTCACTCATCGCATGCCATCTGCTTGTGTCATCTGCTCCTTGTGACGTCATAGTAGCATCATCCAAATCCCGTCATTCCATAAGTTATACGGCGATAGAGACCAAGGCAAATATAACCGTTGAAGCTTTCATATCTGGCGTTCATGAGTACGATTTCCCGATAAAGTAGCCGTCACTCGGCTCTGAATCAATGTCGTGCAATGTGCGATAACATAATCAAACAGTGAAGCATTGAGGAGCATGCTAACTAAAAAGAGGATTGCGCCGTCTAGAGCAGTCTTTTCCACTAACAGGTATACAAGTTTTTATAAGTGAGCTTGTTTTATTATATCTGCTGCTTGCTTCAACATCTTCAAAATATCCCCTTTAGTGCAACAGGTACGGCAAGGTTTTTCCTCGCCGAATCTACTTTTGTATGCAATCAAGGGCTACCAAACATTAGGCATATATGGCGCATATCAGACATACAGAAGGACGTAAACAGCTAGTGTGTGTGTCGGGGGGGGGGGGGGGGGGGCTGTGCAAGTGGTGCGTGCGGATTGCTACGTGGTGTGCGGCGTTGGGTGCAGAGCCGCGTGGATGTCGTAGGGGTGGGTTTACCTGCTACCTCATATGCGACCTCGGTAGTCATTACGTCTGGGTGAGCGTTGGTGCGTTGTGCAGTGCGCACTCCGCGTCTATAAAATGAGGTAAGGAAAGACGAGAGAGAAAAAGAGACATACGGTAGGGAAGTGGTGAGGATCCAGCAGTTAGCGGGATAATAAACATGCATCTTAACCTCAATTTTCCCTTGTACTTGAGGCAAGCTGCTCCATATCCTGAGTATATCATCTCGGATTGTTGATGTTATTTTGCCTTGCAATATCCAATGAACATTGCAAGAACTAAACTCTGTTTTGGCAGGAAGGATACCTGTTGTAGGCTTAGAAAGGATTTTTGTTGTGGAAACATTGCTATTATTACATTGATTAGCTACTACGGGAATCAATGATGATTTTGGAATATGAACTTAGCATCAATTACATTCATTTTGGTAGGTAAATATGCTTTAAACGCTTTGTAGACAGCTCACCACCTGAAGAAAGTCAGATGAACCACCTGCTGATCACCGGACTGCCTGGAGTTGGCAAGACCACTCTTCTCCAGCGGGCTTTGGAGCAGTTGAAAAATGGTAAGTTGATAGCTGTGGCAGAGCCCCATCCATGAATGGATGATTTTATACCTGCTGGTGCAAGAATTTATGTCCTTAGTAATCTGTATGTATTTTATAATGATTTGAACATCTCAATGTACTAAGTGGCATCACAATCACGAGTGGAATGGACAGAGGCATGTAGATAAACTAGCATAATCAGAAGGTTGTTTCAGCTGCTCAGTGAGTCAGGTGGGATTTCAATTCATTGTGTTGGCCCCACAGTCAAGGCATTGGTGCATTACTAGGATAGAATGGTTTGTACACTGACTTTTGCTCTCCCACAAGTTTAAAGTCTGCCAAGTTAATGTGTTAATTACTTACATATTCCATATCACAATTTATGGGGCTATGGTGGTTTAAGCAACACATGTTTGAATAGGGCAGCTAGCCAACATTTTTACCCTCCACTGCCTCAGACCAAAATAGTGCTTCATCATGATGCCATCCAGTCCTGCATACATAACTAGTTATCTGCTCATTATTGTGCAATGCTGTGCAAACTAATTGTTATGCTATGCTGTTTATGATATGGCATGTATTGCCTAGTGCATTACATATAACAGGCATGGTTTATGAATAATTATGCATGACCAGACACCATATCAACAGATTACAAAGTGTGCACTTGAGTACCTATTCCTTAATGAATAAAAGTGACAAGGATTTTTTATGTTTGTCACAAGATCTTTGGCTGTCCTACAGAACCACTTGACTAAGTGGCATCACCTTCCACCATGGGAAGAACTTGAACCCACTTCAATCAACACCCACAATCAATCATGGACTTGAATGCTAACCCAAGTATGCATTGTCACCGCCAGTGCCGGCGACTGGCTTCGTGACAGAGGAGGTGCGCCAGTCCGGCGACCGTGTGGGCTTCGACGTGGTGACGCTGACTGGCGGCCGGGCGCCGCTGGCTCGCGTCGGTGCCGGCGGCGGCCGCAGTCGGCCCTGCGTCGGCCGTTACGCCGTCGACCTGGAGTCGTTCGAGCGCGTCGCGCTGTCGGCCATGGCTAGCGCCCCATCCGGCGGCGTGCTGGTCATCGATGAGGTGAGGCCTCGCCCGCAGGGCACGCGCACGCGCTGGGATCTCCGGGCTGGTGCCACTGGAAGGCACGTGTGAGGAGCGAAGTCAAAGTGGCTGATGGAACGCCCATCTGGAGGTGTGGGCATGTCGTTTGCTTCCTTTTGCTCGTGTGAAACGTGGATCAGTGGCAGGGAAGTGCTTCCGCTGGAATGGGGCCCTGTCAAGCTACTTTCATCACCCTACGTTCGCACAGGAGTGGACGTTCTGTCGGGCTTCTTTCGCCACCCTGCGGTCGTGCGGAAGTGGGGGGGGGGGGGGGGGGGGGGTTCCGGGAGGCCGCTTCCGTCACTGCGTTTGTACGGGCGTCTTGCCAGTGGGGTCAGGCCACGTTTTTGGAGAGTCCGATTGTTACAAATGTGCTTTTCGTGTTCATATGCCCGGATTGCTGTAAAAATGTGGTGAAGTGGCTTTAACACTTAAATCAAAATTCCTGTAGAATAGCGCTCTGGTCTTGCAGATGTGTGTTTGAGTGGGGGGGGGGGGGGGGGAGGGGGAGCAACAGGGCCACAGACAGCCGCTGTAACTGAACCCAGTCAGATCTGCCCCGGATGAGCACTAGTCGTACTCGCAGTCGTCAGGCTGACCTACTCACCGATGGGTTATGAACACTCCACCGCGCGTTACCACCCACATCCAGGCCGTCACATTCTCGAGACACTTTCCCAGCCGCACAGCGCGGCTGTCTGGACAGGCCTCAGCTGTGTGGCCGCTAGCCAGGTCGGCCGCGTGCGCAGCCTGATCGGCCGGTGTGGCTGCACCGGTCCGTCTCGGCCGAACCCGGACCGGCGGCATGGACGTGCTGGCGGTGTCGACGCTCGCTCAGGGAGCCTGTGCAGTGACCACCGGTCCGTCTCGGCCGAACCGGGACCGGCGGCATGGACGTGCTGTCGGTGTCGACGCTCGCTCAGGGAGCCTGTGGCCGATGCGCTCTTGCCGTTCGTGGCGCTGTCTTGTCACTCTCGTGACCAGCTGAAGCTGCCTCGCCTCCGTCGTGTCTCGCTTCGCCGCTCGTCGTCGCTTACCCCGCCCCGTCCCCTCAGATTGGCAAGATGGAGCTATTGAGCGCGCCGTTTCAGCGCTCGGTCCGCGCCGCGTTCGCCGGCGGCGCGGCGGTGATCGTGGCGACTGTGCCGGTGCCGCGCGGCCGGCAGCCGGCGCTGCTGGCCGAGCTGCGCTCCCGACCCGACATCCGCCTGCTGGAGGTCACGCGGCAGAACAGGGAGGCGCTCGTGCAGACCGTGACGGACTTTGTTCTGAAGAGACTGGGCAACGGTGGCGGAGCGGTGCCCGACTGAGGGGCCGGGGGTGGGAGAGGGGCGCTCCCTGCGTGTTGGGGCAATGTCCCGCTGGTGGGCGGGGTGATAACAGAAGGGCTTTCACGGCACCCTACGGGTGTACTGTGGTGCCGGGACCTATCCCATCTGCGGACAAACCCAACGGCTGAGCGTGTGAAGTTCGCAGCGTGTGTCGAGGGAAGCATACATGTGCGCTGGGAGTTGGTGTAGGTGAGCTGCTGATGTACTGCTCCGCCCAGAACCCAGGGCGTGTTTGTGTGATGTAACGTGTCATAGCTTCAAACCTGCATTGTGCGATGTCTTCTCCTTGGGCTGCTTAATATTAATCGTGCAGAAAATGAATAAACCGTACCTCCACTGTACGAGTATTGACGAGAGAGCTTTCTTTTTCTGGCCATGGTGTGAAGTGAGCTGTTTGAATAAATGGCCTTGTTGGATGGGTTCAAAGAAAATGCGCATGTCGCGTCGTGAGCTAGATTGGAAAGTGCATGTCTTCTGGAAGTGCACGTTTGCATGTCTGTGTGCGATTCATTGGAGCCTATTTTTCGTAGAGAAAATATTTCCGCTCTTGATGATCATATCTTTCTTACCAGTATATGTTTAAAATTACACTTCTAGTTGAGTATCTTTCTCCGCTCCGTCCGGTAAAGAGGGGCCCCGTCACTTTTTCAGCAGAAAAATGGAGCACTCGCTGAAAATACTGGATGGGGGGGGGGGGGGCGATAGCAAACCCCTGTAAGCCAGCGTCGAGGCGCACCATTTCGGGGAATTTTTCTTGACCTACCGCGGGCGGGCACTTCATACTACGTACTGTATACTGAGACGGACACACACCAGGCTGCAGTGAAATGTAATGCCAAATTTGATCATTTTAGTGGTAAAACCTTAAATGCGTGTTGAAAGCTCCGCAGGATAGGTGTTTCGCTACGACTCTTGGAAACATCTTGATCTGCTGTGACGCCGAATAAATATCAAAATCTGGACGTGAACCGTATGATTTTAAGTGGCCCATGACATTTACGCCATGATCTGAATTGGGCCCTTTGCACCTCTTTGCACTGCATCACGTGCAAACGGTAATGTGCAGGTGCTCAGTTTATTACGGATACTGCTGGGGCAGTGCACGACGTGTTAAGCCCTTGTTTCAAATTTTCCGTTCGTTGTTTAAGTTCGATAAACATATTGTCTAATACAATGCCGCATGCGTTTGGGCAAAAGGCTTCCGTACGTTGCGTAAGTTTAGTTTACACTTTTTTGTTTTATACGGTACCGCGTGTTTTTGGAAACCAGTGGATGATGCACGTATGTGTATTACATACAAGGTCTTCGAGTGCACTGACTGCTCATTTGTTGGAATAAAAACATTGAGACGGTGATTATGAGTCAGCGAAGTAACTGTAGAGACAGACATAACATATGAATTTGGTCTTTGCACGATAATGATTGGGGCTTAAGGGCACACCGACAGCCGAGAACATTTTGCGCTCATAAATTTAGTCATGAGCCGAGTACTGTGAGGCAGTAGCACATACGCGAAAGCCAGGAAACTTGCTATCATGGCTATCCCTCGCGAACGACTGGCGGGTATCCCACGGGCCGTTTAGGGGAACCACGCATGCTTTTGGCTGCAATAACCTACCGGCAGTAGAAGCAACGACCACTAGCTCAAGTCAAGCACAGATGGCAGGCCCAGCATGTGTCGCTCCCCTCTTCCGAGAAGCGCTCACGTCGGGCTCATGGCACCAGCTCGGTGCCTGTTAGTTTCTCCGGAAGCCCACAGATGGCAGCACTTGCATCACTCATCGCACAGGCGGCAGCACCACAAGCTCAGATGGCCGGCGGTGCAGTGGTGAATGCCCAGCAGGCCTCCACGTTCTCCGGCCAGTCGCAGACCGACTCTGCCTCGTTGAAGACCAGGTCGCTGGGGCAGGGCATGTGGTGACGGACGATACCCTGGCACAGGTAGTAGTGCTTGCAGTCCAGGGCGTCCCTGTGGAACGTCACCTCGCCGACGTCGTTGTCGCACACCACCTCGTTGGCTGAAAAGAGCGTGGTGCGGTCAATATGGGGCATGTTTGCCGGGTGCGAAGTCAACCAAACGCTTCAGTTTCTGCCCTGAGAGCTGACGGGCGCGACGCGCGTCCCCCGTCCCCCCCCCCTCCCCGCCCGATGGATGTGTCCCCATCAGCCGTGACGTGTGGTGCCAGGCGGCCCACGGACGCGGCCGTCCGACCCGTGTCACTGGATCGCGAGTCTGGCACCACTCGGGTGACACCTGGACACGGCCTGACTTTGGGCGAACGTTACGGCGCATCCTGGTGCAAAACATTACGGTATGTTCAGAGCCTAGTTCCATATTCTGTCACCCGTGGGAGGGGTCTGGAGCCCCATCTATGAGCCGAAAGTGGATCAAGTCTGGGAGCAGCCCGTTTCAAGTGCATTTTTAGCCGTTTTAGCTACTTTACTTGCTCTCTTACGTAACAAATCAGCTGGCAAAATTACAAGCCTGGGCATTTCTGACCAGCATTTCTATTGGCTTCCCGCTATCGACGTTGACAACTAAAGCGATCAAAACCTCCCCCCGCTTGCCCCCTCCCCCTGCTCCACTGCTCGGCCCACTCACGATCGGCAGCTGCCCCTGAAGTGCCGGCGGCAGCAGCGGCACCGCTCGCCCCGTCGTAGGTGTACGGCACCCGGTACCCGTCGAGGGCCTCCTGGACAGCAGCGATGAGCGGGTACCGGCCATTGCCGCACGCGCCGCTGAAATCGTCCAGGTCGGCCGCCCACAGCATCACGCCGCCGAAGCCGAGCTCGCGCAGCCAGTCCACCTGGAGTGGGGGCGGGACCGGTGATGGCTGGAGGAGGCGCGCGAGGCAAGCTGGCCTGGTGCAGGCGGTCAGCGGAGCGGGGGGGGGGGGGGGGGCTGGAGAGTCAGCCCGTATGGTGCTGACCACCCGGTGCCGATCCGTTCAAAGTGGGAACCAGAGCCATTCCTCGGAATCGGTGCACACGGCAGTGGTGGTTTGGTAAAGATTGGCTCAGCCGCTCGGCGCGGCATGCCAAAAGTCTTGGAAACAAACACCTCACAAGGTATTCAGACTTGCGGACAGGCTTCGGCTCCCGCCCCTGAATCGGGTGACGACGCAACTATCCTGCACGCAACACGTCTATGGGATAATTGATGTTCAGCGACATCAGTGCACCGGATAATGCGCTCTTCGACTCCCTGAACTTAACAACAGCTCCTCTAGCAGTGTTTTTACGGTTGTTCGAGTCTCCGCGGGAGCACTGCGCACCTCGTTTTGAGCTCGCCGGCCGTAGCCTGGTCAGAGGGCGGGTGCGCTTCCTCAGACGGAACAAAGCAGAGCTTACACTTCTCGTCGATTTAGGTAATGAATCTCAGTCGCTCGAAACTGGACAGCTCTTTCAGTTTCTTTCCGCCGTAGCTTTTGCCAAGGGTGTAGTTTCTTAAGTCGAGGGAGCTCGAGCCCTGCCAACTTGGGGTTCAGGACCCCAACTTTGTGAACAACGCAAGCGACAGACGGGTAGAAACCAGCTTGCTGACGTAATTTTCGAGTTGTTTTCGTCATTTTCACCCCCACCCCTCAACTCACTATGCGAGACTACACCGCCGGATTTTGCAATGCCTTCATTATTACGCCACGCAAATTTTTGATACACTGCGCAAAAAATAAACTTACAAAGGCATTTGGGATGAGCCTTAAATTTATGTCAAAAATCCGTTTAAATTGTCACTCTGCCTCGCAATATGACACAAAAGAGGAATACATGACCGCATGCAGTCGCTGCGCTCCAGAACTCCAAACTATCATCGGTTGTTTGAGTGAACGAACAGACATGGTGCCGCCGGAGTTACCTTCAGCATCAGCGAGCGCTCATCGTCGAAGCCGACCCACTGGTCTCCCCTGAAGGCGAACGGCACCTCCTGCTCGTGGTCCCAGACCAGGGTGGTGTTCTCGCTGTCCAGGAAGTCGCACACCTGCAGCGGGCCGGACATATATGAGATTCAACGGCTCAGACGCAGCTGAATATGTGCAGACCTTACCTCCGCCCAGCTGTGACCTGATCACAGCCGTCAATACCCTCATCCGTGACCTGATCACAGCCGTCAATACCCTCATCCGTGACCTGGTCACAGCCGTCAATACCCTCATCCGTGACCTGATCACAGCCGTCAATACCCTCATCCGTGACCTGATCACAGCCGTCAATAACCCTCATCCGTGACCTGATCACAGCCGTCAATACCCTCATCCGTGACCTGATCACAGCCGTCAATACCCTCATCCGTGACCTGATCACAGCCGTCAATACCCTCATCCGTGACCTGATCACAACCGTCAATACCCTCATCCGTGACCTGATCACAGCTGTCAGCGCCCTAATCCGTGACCTGGTCACAGCCGTCAATACCCTCATCCGTGACCTGATCACAGCCGTCAATGCCCTCATCCGTGACCTGATCACAACCGTCAATACCCTCATCCGTGACCTGATCACAGCTGTCAGCGCCCTAATCCGTGACCTGGTCACAGCCGTCAATACCCTCATCCGTGACCTGATCACAGCCGTCAATACCCTCATCCGTGACCTGATCACAACCGTCAATACCCTCATCCGTGACCTGATCACAGCTGTCAGTGCCCTAATCCGTGACCTGGTCACAGCCGTCAATAACCTCATCCGTGGCCTGATCACAGCCGTCAATGCCCTCATCCGTGACCTGATCACAACCGTCAATACCCTCATCCGTGACCTGATCACAGCTGGCAGTGCCCTAATCCGTGACCTGGTCACAGCCGTCAATAACCTCATCCGTGGCCTGATCACAGCCGTCAATGCCCTCAACGTGGCTTTTACTAAGTTGTCACCTGCCTCCCCCCCCCCCCCCTGTTGTGGCGTCAGCCCAAGTCCCTGCCCACCATCTGTGACCTGACCTCCAGACATGACCCGACCTTCATCCAGCCGTGATCGCACCTCACCCACGAACTGGCCTCAGCCATGACCCAAACTCCCCCTCGTCTGTCCTCGCACCGTGACTCAATGCCACCTACCCTGACCTGACCCCCACCCATGCCTGACCCCGGCGGCGGCCTGACCTGACCTGGCCCTATGACCTGAGCCCAACGGCGAACTGACCTCGAAGTGGCTGACGAAGCCCGGCTCCTGGGTGAAGCGGCCTTGTTTGCCGGCGTCAACGACCGGTGCTCCGATGTCGTACAGGGCCGGGTCCTGGAGGGTGTAGGTGCGGCCGTAGGTGGCCAGGCCGATCAGTATCTTCTCCGGAGGCGCGCCCTCCCTCACCAGCTCCCGAGCAGCGCCGTCCTGCGGAACAGCGGCGGCAGGGAGGTCAGACGAAGCCGCGGTGGGGTCAGACAGGGCAGCGGTGGGGTCAGACGGGGCAATGAGCGGGGTCAGACAGGACCGGGGCGGGGACATGGGGCAATGTGCGGAGTCAGACGGCATCGATGTCGGGCGGGACCGGGGTGGGGTTAAACGGGACAAGAGCAGAGTAAGACGGGACTGGAGGTGTCCGTGTTATACCGAGCAAAGGCGGTGCCAAACGTGACAAGGGGTATGATCGCGCCTGGCAGGGGGCGGGGTACGGGGGGGGGGGGCAGTGGCAAAGGAACGGAAGCGGTGCAGAACCACCGGGTGGAGGGGACAAGATGAGGAGGGGCAACGGGCTAACTTTCCTTATTCTGGGAGTTGGTTGAACCAGGTGACATGTGAGTAACGACGGCCCGCTGCTCTCAGGCCGCACAGGCGTTGGTGGTCGTGGATAAGTGGAAAGGCAGTACACAGCAGAATGTTAATGATGGGTGGGTCGTGTCGTTCTCCACACGACACGGCAGATTCGATATGGAGTGTTGTCTCGTTCACTTCATTTGTTTTTTTTTGGGGGGGGGGAGGAGTGGGGGAATCTACTGAATAAATGCATTTGACAGGAGGGTAAACGTACAGCTTAAAGCTGCTATTAATTTTCAACGCTTTCTAGAACGTAGTACTTCCAAACGTCTCATCACATCACTGACGATCAGGACGCTTCCGACATATACCAGGCAGTACCAGCTGCTACATCAGGTTGGCAGGTTCAGGCCTATCATGATTTGTCTATCTGAATCACTTGGACTACTTTAGGTTCCAGACGGACGGACCGCAACCAAAATAGCAGCGGCGATGGAAGCTGTAAAAAACGGTGGAGCACCACATCTTAACCTTGCATACCTCTACACCGCTCTCTACAGCCGACAGAGATGTTACCGCTCCGCCCCCGTTCGGGACAAGACCTGGCCGCACGTCACGCCGAACTCACCACACTGAGCTTCTTCTCGGCGCGGGAGGCGCTCTCCATCGGGTACAGAGGGGCATTGTGACCGACCACGTCGTCCCAGGCGCCGTGGAAATCAAACGCCATCAGGTTCAGGAAGTCCAGGTACTTCGAGATCTCCGGAATGTCGTACCTGAAATAGCGCACCCGCGGCATTGGTGTTCGCAACTTCCATGGGACGCGTGTTAAATTCAGGAACGTAGTGGAGCGCAACCCAAAAATATGAAGCACTTCAGGCAGTGGTTGGTGGTACATTGCAGGAAGAACTGGAAACACTGCACAGTGCGGCCCAGGGGCGCACGCGGGATTTCACAATGGGGAGGGCGAGGGAGGGGGTCGGGTGGACACAGTTAAAAAATGACTGCAAACCAAGTTTACCACGCCGCAGTGGCGCGACATTGATTTCATGTCGTAAGGTATCTTTAATGTTTGCAAACTTCTTCTTTCCATGTGTCTTTACGTAGTTTTTAATTCAATATTGAGTCAATCGCATGCTAATGCATACCAAGAATAGGCAAGAAAGGCGTGTGTTTGGAGGAGGCCACCTGAGCCACCATGTGCCTGAGTGGGCCGCTATGTGCGCACACTCCTGGTCCGGCCTCGGCCTGGCTTCAAGGAATGTCACGACGCTGCTGGTCAGTGGGCGGAGCTTACCCGGCCTGGATTGCATCTGGATTGGCTGGCAGCGCAGCGGTCAGCAGAAGACGCGGCTTCCTAGTGGCCGACGCCTCACTATCAAAAGCCAGCCTGAACTCCTGCAGCAGGCTGCTGTACGCCCTCCGGTCCTGGTGTCCACTGGAAAAGGCAGGGCCACTTTTGAATGACTGTGGACCGCGGCAGCTGGTGGCTGTATTTATCTCGATCCTCCATCGCCACCGGAGTGAGGCCACGGACCGCGCTTACAGCACCATTAGATGCCGCCAGGCGATGCAGCTGTGCCAAGAGCGCTTCACGTGCTAAGAGTTCAGGGAAAACCGATCTGGCGATAAAGGCTGTCCGTGACATTGCCACATCCTGCAGATGTCATTCATTCCTGCACACACCCTTTAAAAAATAAGGGTGACAAAAAATACATCGATTAGTACCGCACGCTGTTAATCCTGGCAGCGGCTAGTCTTCATCAGAATTGGGCGAGCCGGCCCGGTCTGACCCACCCGACCTTCCGCCGACCTTCCGCTCAAACGTTGCTAGGCAACGCGCCGCAAACACGGGAGTGCCCACTGAAGGGCGTGAGCAGCATGGAAGCCGCATACCACACAAACTTTTAGCAAAATATTTGCGTGCCATTTACATTGGGGAGTATTAGCGATGCTTCACACCGTCACGCCGTTCTTCAAAAAGCGCAGCTTCGTTAAACTAAATGAAACCGTCGGCATTCAATATTTGGAGGCGCTACCCGCCCTCCAGCTGTGTGTGATAACCACGCATTACGGCATGATTCGGTCGCATTCTGTGGCTTAGTGTCTAACGTTTCTTTGCAGTGCGAACGCGCCTTTTTGGGTTCAAATACTACCATAATCATTCATGGACGTTCGTCTGAGCTCCGGCAGCGGACAGATGCGGGACTCTAAGTGCCCAGTCACACAGGAACTAGCTCAAGGCCACCGCCAGACCCGAGCAAAAAACTGCATTTAAAAACGCCTGTACGTATCCTTGCCCTCGAACCCATTATAACGAGGCTGAGAGGAAACCATGCGAGATGTCGCAAAGGATAGCTAGGACGTAGCGGCGTAAACTCATTACCTGTTCCGGTCGCATGTCTTCAGCTTCGAGTCGGGACACACACTGGTTTGCCTTCGGGGCAAGTATTTAAATTTGTTTGATGAGCTGTACGCGATTATGTTTTTATGTATGAGACGCATTATTCAGTCCAATCTCGCAGGCGAAAGGAGTGTGCTAGAGCCAACGAGAAATTCTGGAATCTTCAAACTGTGTGGATTTTCAACGCGTGAATCATTGTCCTTGTTACCATTCGGTCTTTTCCAACGGAACAAATCACTTTGCCTTCCGAAACCGTCGTGAAAAGAACTGTGCGAAACAGTACACACCATAACCGTTGCATGTCTTCTGCTCAGCCTGAACGATCGTTAGTTCACAGGCAACAAAACTACAGTCTAAGCTCCACCTTCATGACGCATTGACATGGAATAGCTACGTATTAAGCATTGTCGGTAAAACATGCGGAACATGCCGCCGGTACGCCATTGCCGGACAACAACGTGAAAAGTCGAAACAAAAACGAATTACATAAAGCCACTGGACCTTTCCACAAATGCCTAGCATGTCCAATGCGGGATTCACCGTCAACTCTGCAAGAGAATATACACGTTTGCCATCATTTTGAGCCTTATTGCGAGAGATTTCTTGAATGAAGGGACTCCATGAGACAAAAGCAGACTGGTGCGCCCACTTGGGGCGCTCCCCGAGTATATCCACTCCGTCCACCAGCCGGGGTATTCTCAGCGGACGTTTCTGCCGTCCACCCACCTGGGGTACTCCCAGAGTATATCCACTCCGTCCACCAGCCGGGGTATTCTCAGCGGACGTCTCTGCCGTCCACCCACCTGGGGTACTCCCAATGGATGTCCACGCCGTCCACCAGCCGGGGTATTCCCAGCGGACGTCTCTGCCGTCCACCCACCTGGGGTACTCCCAATGGATGTCCACGCCGTCCAGCTTCACCTTGCGGATGGCGTCGACGGCGTCGTACACGAACGTGTTCATACGGTAGCTGCTGGCGGTGAGGTCCTGGAACGTGGCTGGATCCACGGCATAGCCGCCCAGGCCCAGCAGCAGCTGGAGAACGCAACACAAACACGTGACATGCAGGCCGCCCAGGCCCAGCAGCAGCTGGAGAACACGACACGAACACGTGGCGTGCAGGCCGCCCAGGCCCAGCAGCAGCTGGAGAACACGACGCAAACGCGTGACATGCAGACCGCTCAGGCCCAGCAGTAGCTGGAGATCACGACACACACGTGGCGTGCAGGGAACCAGCGGAGGGCTCTTGGACACGTGCAAACTATGACCTGATGATCAACACCGGATGTGTGGGCGACCTGGCCAGGTGAGGAAACCTGTCTAGAATCACCTGGTGCGCGGGTGAGAGCGGTCTGGAGTCGTGGCCGTGTGTAAGAAGAAGAGAAGCGCACCGTGGCCCAGGGGGGGGGGGGGGAGCTGTTAGCAAGCATAGCTAGCAGACGTCCGTAACTGCGATCAGTCTACTCGAGGGGGACAAGGCATGACTTGCATGGCGCAGGATAGCGACAGTGTTATAATCAGGTGATATCCAGGCCTTCGAAACCTGCATTCAGCGAATATCATGGACAACACGAAAGATGAGAAGACCGCAAACCACATGTCTGCAAGCGTGCAGAGTCTTCAGTTTCTCTGTGTACCAGTCACAAACCATGTAAGATAGGAGTACACTGCACTGGTCCGATGGGAGTCAGAGCCGGAGTTTTCCAACAGCTTCACCAATTCAAAACTCATGCATGGCTCACAGCTACCATATAGACGCTGCGCGTTGTTAAACGTTTTTTCCAATCGGGATATGCTTTTCCAGCAGCCAGCAGATGCTTCCGGACAGCCGTATGCGGCCAAATTCACGCCATGTACGCAACGTACGACACAGGATGTGTCAATGGATGTGATGACACAACCATGGGCCGATCAGCACTGGGGCTCGTCTATCATCGACGGTCTTGTGCTGAGGTGGCCATGCAGGGACTTTCTTTCGCTGGGTGAAGCATTGGAACCGGGTTGATGGGTATAGGATAAGGGAACGACCAAGCATTGGTATCAGTCTGCCACCTCGCGACAACTGGAGTCTAGCCAACTATTGGTAGCCAACCATGGTGTCTGACAACCCGAATGGTCTGTTAGCAGGTAAAAATTGGCTTTCATCGCTTGGAATTTCCTTCACGCTGGAGTATGCCGCCAGCATTGTTTTGTGCGGATGGCGGCATATCTCAAAGATCCTGACGATGGTGTTGGCGTTCCACAACTGCAGCAGCCACTGACTGTCGCTGGTTTAACTGACTTTAAGGTCGGGGTTGACATCGCTCAGTCGCAGCGACTTTTAAAGATCCCGAAGTTGGAGTTGGCTCAGTCGCAGCAGCTGGTGGTAACAGTTAATTCCACTGAAGTTATGCTTATTAGTAGCGTTCACCAATGAGATTGGCTACTGGTAGTGACCCGTTCCTCTGGTGGTTACCCGTTCCTCTGGTGGTCGCCCGTTCCTCTGGTAGTCGCCCGTTCCTCTGGTGGTCGCCCGTTCCTCTGGTGGTCACCCGTTCCACTGACCTTGAGGTTGGGGTTGGCGTCGCGCAGGCGCAGCAGCTGCTGGTAGTCGCTGTCGTCGTCCCGCCGGTCCTGGTCCTGGGAAGGCAGCTCGATCCGGCCCTGCTGGATCCCACCAAACGCCCAGACCACGTGCGTGCAGAGCTTGGGGTCGAGGTCGGCCGGCGAGAACCGGCCGCGCCCCTCACGGTCCCGCGCCCAGCTGGTCACGTAGCAAAACACCTTGGGCGGCGCCACTGCAGGTCAAAGGTCGGTGGTCAGTCGGTGCCACTGCAGGTCAACAGTCGGTGGTCAGCCTCGTGGCGAGAAAGTGCAGACGGTCGGATGGTGCGGTTTTGAAGGTTGCGCGGTGTCAGAGGCTACCTGTTGCAGCCCCTTTCGAGATGGAGTAAGTATAGCGTCCGCTCTTTTCTTCAAGGCTGAAACTGTTTTGGCCGCTGCGAAACCGCAAGATAACAAAACAGAAAGAGCACACCAAACCAAAGGCAAACACAAAGTGCTGACAGACCTCAGTTCTCCGGGTACAAGCCGGATGTCAAGGAGCCGGAGTTTGCAACGATCGGAGGGCTACCCAAGGCGACCCTCCCGAAACCCGCTGATGTTCATGGGAATCATTTTCGCTCACTACTCACGGTTGTCATCGATGACTTCGGCCACTGCAGTGGTCGGAGTGGCGGTCTTCACGGTCCCCCGGCTGCCTGACACCTTCGTGAGCAGCTTCTGGACCGAGTCCAGTCCCGGGGTGATGCCTGGAAACGGTTCCGGTCGGAGTCGGTCATAACAGCTCACTGGCTGCTACTCTTTGCGGGTCACCAAGTTTTGTACACCCACTTGCCCAGCGCTTTTAGCTATTCGTACGGAACAGCAACCTTTAGCCATTCGCACAGCAACAACAACTTTTAGTCATTCGTACAGCAACAACAGCTTTTAGCCATTCGTATAGCAACATTCGTACAGCAACGCAGAAATGGGCACATGTTCGCTGGTGTGTCTCCGTCGGACATAACACGAACGCACACAAAACACGCAACACGCATAATACGCGCACAAAACACGAATGCACTTCCCACAACTCGTGTGGGTGCAAGTTACAACAGGGAAGCCCGTCAGCGTGCCACCACGAACCTTGCGCTTTCAGGATGGCGATGATGTCGGCGATGCTGAGCTGCGAGATGAGGGGCGACGGAGCGTCGGCTGCTGGCAGCTGACGTTTCGCCACCTTGGACCAGTCGATGTCGGCCTTGTTGTCACTCCGGGGCACCTCCAGCAGCTCCTCGCTAAAGGCAGACAGGTGAGTCAATGGTAATAAGCGTGGTAGCATTAGACGGTTGTTGCCTAGCGTTGTCAGGCGTTGTGATCGCAGTTTTGCGCTGAGCCTGGCATAATGGTTTCCATAGTAGTAGGACCTTCTTCAATTATAGATCCTTTATAACATAACTACTGTATAATATATATTGCATTATATATAGTGTATACTATAATATATAATATAATATACCTAATATAATATGTATAATATAATATTGTAGGATGTATAATTCTGCATACTGCGACGGCGTATGGTCCCGGCGGCTTGTACACCCACATCACTTCTGCAGCAGCGGCCCGCCAGCCATGCGAATACGTTCTCCCACTTCACTGTGATCCAGTCGCCAGCGACGATCCCAGCGTTCCGTAACATTTCCCAACATCGGACCGACCCGGCCGGCGGCTCGAGTCTCACGGGCGCCGCGTCTGCTCTCACCGCATGGCTGTCATGAGCGGGTAGACGGCACCCCCGCAGGCGGCCGCCGCGAAGTCGTCCATGTCCACCGACCAGACCATGGCGCCGGCCAGGTCCATGTCCTGGATGAAGTTCATCTTGAGGCGGATGGCACGCTCGTCGTCGAAGCCCACCCACTGGTTGCCGTCGATCATGTACGGCACCGACATCTCGTCGTCCCAGATGTAGTTGGCGCCGCCGTGCAGCTTCTCACAGATCTGAAGGCGCGCGCGCAGGGGCAGGCCTTGTGAGTCCGGGTGGGCCGGAAAATGCCCCGCGACGGTTTTCTTGAGGCTCGTGAACAGGAAAGACAGTCACACTCATCTGGGACACGAATGACCTGCGGCCGTCCACCGATTAGTGTTCAGCGAGATGATCACCTCTTCATCCAAAAGTGTGGTCTTCTGCTCAGTACAGCCTGGCCCCGAAAACTCAGCTTTGAAACGTAATTGGTCCGGAAAAGTCCGGAGAAACCGGTTACCGTTTAGGATTCTTCAGTAGGCTTGGTAGGCTTATAACGCAGGTTTGTAGGACAGGTTTTTAAGGCAGGTTTTTGGCGTATTTTGGTAAGTTTGGTAGGTTTTGGTCATTTGGCTGGTTTCTCCTGCTCATCGCCTAGCTTATGTTGCTCAAGTGTACTGCTCATCTGGCTGACCTCAACTCTGACCTGTCCTGCCTGCTCTATCCTGTTTGACCTGATCTGATCTAACCTGACCTGACCTTGGGCCGGGCTCGCGTGACTGACCTCGTAGTACGCGAGGAAACCCTCCTCCTTGGTGTAACGGCCGGCTGATCCACCGCCTCGGGCAGGAGCGTTGACCTTGTTGTTGCCCGGGTTCGCTAAAGTGAAACTCCGTCCATAGGTGGGCATCCTGGGGGCAGGTCAGCCAAGGATCACCGCCCGGCCCGACGTGTTAGACGGGTCATAGATCTCCAGGATAGGGTGAAGACAATGTACATTTTGAAGAGTCGAACGTGGCTTGATGCTGTACGTGGGAGGCAATGCGACCCGCTGCGTCCAGCGCCCACGGGCTGTTCGTCCTGCGCGTCATATCGTAGCGTTGTGGCTCAATCCTTACCAGGTACGAGCCGCAACCGCTACGAGTCCTTACCACTACGAGCCGCAACGTTTTTGCGTTCTAGATATCACATATTTCGGTCAGTCTCCACTGAGACTCATGCAGTAAACTGTACGAGAGCATTAATTCCGAGCTTTTAATTCGCTCTGGATTTCTGACAATGTTTACTTGGCCAGGGGGGGGGGGATGAGGGTGTACCTCAGGACGCCCCACAACTCACCCGACCACGATCTTGTGCTTGGGCGCACCCATGGACATCCACATGTGTATGGAGGCGTTAACAGACAGCTGACGGCGGTAGGTCGAGTCACTGGAGGGCGCGTTCAGCGGCGCGTTGTGGCCCACCTGCGACTCCCACTTGCCGTGGAAGTCGTACGCCATGATGTGGAACAGGTCCAGGTGCCTGGCGATGACCGCGAAGAAAGTGAAGCTCGCGTGCTGCGACCCATGCCTTCGCGGCCAGGGGCGTCAAGGAAACTGACAGCGGCTGAATCCCAAGCCTAAGGTTACTTCAATATATATGCTCTCCGTAGACTCAACCTTTTGCCCATTCTATAAATCAAACATTTGGTATATCTTGTACATCAAGCCCTAGTTGCGTTGACGGGCTTAACATCAGGTCATCGAGGTCGTTATTGAGTTCCCTGGGCGGTGGGGGCGTAATAGCCGCATGGTTAGCGTCTTGGGCTCCCGCGTTGGGGTCCGGGTTCGAAACCCTGTTGTGCCGTGGGCCCGAGCGCCAATATGGCCGCTGCAGTCGCCGTCACGCCACAAAAATGTTACGCGTAACGTGTGCGCTGTGCTCCCTTTTTCTTTCAAAAAGGAAAGCTACGTCCTTCCTGGCACACCGGGTCACCGGACACGGTGACCCGGTGTGCCAGGAAGACCGACCTAACCTTAGGTCATTAGGTTAGGTTAGGTTAGGTTATAGGTTATAGGTTATATAGGTTATATAGGTTATAGGTTATAGGTTAGGTTAGGTTATAGGTTATAGGTTAGGTCATAGGTTAGGTTAGGTTAGGTTAGGTTAGGTTAGGTGCCCCGGGGACCGGCGGCCGCCTACCTAGCCAGCTTGGCGACGTCGTAGCCGCCGCGGACGCTGTCGGGGCCCACCGGGACGGCCGCGGTCAGCAGCAGCCGCTCGGCACCCGTGTCCCGGGCCTCCTCCTCAAACGCCTCGCGGAGCTCTGCAGAAGCGGGCGGAAGGTACCGTGATGGGGTGGCAGGTCAGGTGAGGGCGCAGTAATAGACCACTGGATTAGGTGGGAGGCGCAGTAAGAAACTGCTGGGTCAGGTGGGAGGCGCAGTGAGACACTACTGGATCAGGTGGGAGGCGCAGTGAGAGACCACTGGATCAGGTGGGAGATGCGGGGAGAGACCACTAGGTCAGGTGGGAGGCGCAGTGAGAGACCACTGGGTCGGGTGGGAAACATAGCGAAAGACCGGCAGGTGGGTTGAGAGGCACAGTGAGGGCGGACGGTCATCAGGCATTAGGTCACGCATGACAGAGAAACATCTCTGACATCAATACAACTGACGCATGTTTTACAGCATGCCTGACCGCCATCTTTTTTAAACACCTTCACGTCCAACCGTCACAAATTTCAAATATACTAGAAGTTCGGCAGTTATAGTCAAAGACAAATAACTCTTGACCGTACAGTGAACAAAAACGCGCTCGGCACCGCGCTTGTTGCTGCATCACCAACCAACATACCTCTGCAGAGTTCCGCAAAGTTGGTCTTGTCACTCGAACCCTTAGGGTATTCCCAGTCCAGATCGAGGCCGTCGAAGTTCCTCTCTCGGAGGTACGGGGCGACGCTGTACACAAACGTCCGGCGGTTGTAGCGGTTGCTACTCATGTCCTTGAACTTCTTGGTGCCGAATGACCAGCCGCCTAAGGGAATAAGTCCAGATTAGGTCTCGACGCTTCTGGAGTTCATTGCAAGGCTGTGGTTGCAATCGTTAGACTGCTGTGATGGCTTAACTGATGATCAGGTATAAATTCCCGGTACGGAGAAAATCAAGCATATTTCCATAGTTCATCCACCAACCGATATTGGACCAAATCTACTTGACATGAAATTATATCTTCTATTGCGAATGTGTCCTATCGTGATTCAGCATAGTCCTTAGTACTGGCAACCATGCTTTACTGCAGCTACATATCTGCCCTTCGTGAAACCTTGTGCCAACGCAATCGCACAGCCGCACCCGCGACGTTCCTTAGTTGAGCTCCACACCAGCACCCACCGATAGCCAGCAGGACCTTCAGCTTGGGGTTGATCTTCTTGAGGTTGGTGACCTGCTCGTAGAGGCCGACCTTGCCGTCCTTGGAGATATCGTTGTGCTCGAAGGGGGAAAGGCGGTTGTTCTTCATGGAAGAGAAGGCGAACACGATGTGCGTGCAGAGGAAGGGGTCAATGTTCTCCGGCATGTATTTTCCCACCGATGGTCTGCAAACGTAGACATTCGCTCATGACACGAGCCAATAGCGGTCAGCACCGGGAGGCATTAGCACTTTGTGACTCCCACCAGGCTGAGGCAGGCAATATCAGCAGTCCGTGGCGGACAGTCGGCGACAGAAGCGCCGACATCTCGCGAGGGCTTCACTACCAGTCTGTGACACCACCACCAACAATCCGTGGCATGGTCAGAAGCAGTCTGACAGGAGGCCCCCAAAGTCTGTACCGGAGTCTACTGATATTTGGTGTCATGGTCACCAACAATTCCAAAAAGGTCCTATCAGCAATTCGAATTCGTGACGGCGAAGCCACGAGTCCGTCACTAACCTCACGGAAAGGTCGTAACACGATACATCTGTGGCTTGTGACAGGCCTCACCAACAGTTTGTTACAGGATCAGACCACTGACAGTTCGTGACGGGGTTCGGCATTAGTTCGTAATTGAGGGCACCAATAGTCCCCAATGCGGTTCATTGTTAGCTGGTGTCAGGCACCACAAATGGTTGTGACGGGAGCCACCAATTGTCACAGAGGGCACCAACTCTCCGTGACAATATACAGCCCACCGGCCTGTTTGGACACGTGAGCCGATCGACACAGAAACAACGACATACTGTGACAAAGGGCACCAGCAGACCGCGGCAAGGATCACCAGCAATTCGTAACGGAAACATTGAAAGCTCGTGGCAAGGAGCACCAACAGATTCTGGCGAGGGGCATGAGCAGATCGTAACAGGAGGCAATTCTGCTGGGTCCATAACAGGGCGCGCCAGCACTTCGTGACAAAGACATCCCCGATCTTTGGCAGTGTACCGTCAGCGTGCGACAGTCACCGGCGGCGCCGAAAATTCGTGAGAAGCACAAACAGCCCTCTGCTGTGGATACACAGCTCACGATGGGGCTCCGAGGAGTCCGTGACACGGCTCCCGTTGGTCCGTGACACGGCTCCCATTGGTCCGTGACACGGCTCCCATTGGTCCGTGACCCGGCTCCCATTGGTCCCCGTCGGTCCGTGACCCGGCTCCCATTGGTCCGTGACCCGGCTCCCATTGGTCCGTGACACGGCTCCTATTGGTCCGTGACACGGCTCCCATTGGTCCGTGACACGGCTCCCATTGGTCCGTGACACGGCTCCTATTGGTCCGTGACACGGCTCCCATTGGTCTGTGACACGGCTCCCATTGGTCTGTAACACGGCTCCCATTGGTCCGTGACACGGCTCCCGTCGGTCCGTGACACGGCTCCCATCGGTCCGTGACACGGCTCCCATTGGTCCGTGACACGGCCCCCGTCGGTCCGTGACACGGCTCCCATTGGTCCGTGACACGGCTCCCATCGGTCCGTGACACGGCTCCCATTGGTCTGTGACACGGCTCCCATCGGTCCGTGACACGGCTCCCATTGGTCCGTGACACGCGACACAGCAGTTCGCTGCTGGGAAAACCATCTGCATCTGCGGGCGCGTCACCTGCGATCGAGCGCTCGGCCCAGCACGAGCGGGCCTCGCCCGGTTCCGGATGAGACCGCTTGAAGGGGTGGGCCGCTTTGAGCCGCCTAACCATGGGTGCGCATGGGGGGTGAAGGTCGCACACGTCACGCGGTCTGGCGCTGGAGCGTAACCACCTGGGAGTTGTGTCGGCTAGATGCTAAATTCGCCTAAAGATGAGCGGGTGGGGAGGGAAGGGACCTCGCATGCTTCAAACTGTCTCAAATTGTTTCGTGAAACTCGTGCTTGGGCTGAGAGGCAAGTTGTATCGGGTAGCTGGCTGAGATTTTATTGGAGTAGAGTCAATGGAAATATGTGCAACTGACTTCCACGCGTAAACGAAGTCAATTGTGCCGAGTTAATACCTTTCAGCCCACCTCATGTTTTTTTCTTTTTAAATGTGTGCTGGACATGTGGGGCAAGACACATCAAGCCTGTGTAGTTGAGCCCAAGCCCCTGTCACATTGCTTGTGAGGATTTGCAATCGTCAACAAATGTAAGGCGATTTCTTGCGCTTAAAAATCACACGATGATATCGAGGAATGTCGAGGATCAAGGTCATACCAGGCTGTGTCATGTCATGTTAAGTTTATCTCATGTCCAGGTTAGGGCACCTGGTCAGGCAATCGTTTCCACTTTTCCTGGATACATTACATAGATAAGTCAATGGCTCAAAAATGTTTCAGTCCTAGTGACATGCTGATAGCAGATGGACGTACCAAATCAGTTCATTAGCCCTTTATACATTGATCTCACATGTCATTTCACAATACTCTGCTGTAGCTTGGGAAGTGTGTCCGATTAGTAAGCAATAAAATCCCTCATTGAGTTAAACAAAGTAACCCAAAACAAGAGAGCTAACTTAGAAATAAGATGCAATGACACGGCGTAACCGAACCGCGATAGGGGAAATGAGGTTGGAGGTGGGGTACGGCTTTGGGGGGTAGCTTACACTCACGTGTTGATGCAAATCATGTTTCCTCTTAATTTTTTTGAAAAATGTAAGACGGATAGCGTAGGCTTTTCCTTATGACAAACAACACGCTCGTTTTTGTTGTCCACCTCTAGCTCAATTGCGTGTTGAACGAACTTTATTTTTCTGTACGCTGCGCTGAAAAGGCGTGTTTTGCATTTGCAGGGGGGTTTGGATCGCAATAGCCATCTTAAAACAATTTTTGGGGCATTAATTGACTACCTGGGCAGCCCAGCCCGTTTCAAGACCTTATCTCCCTGGTTTCTGAGCTACATGCCCGCGACGATGTGCAGACTATTTCGGGAGACAAATTCAAGGTTAACCAGGTATCCATGACGCCATAATGTCGTTTAAATCCTGCCATTCCATTAGTCGTGTGGCGATCAAGGTCAAAAAATATAGCTGCCGAGCCGCCCACATCTGGCATTCGTGAGCACGATTTCCAAAAATAACAGCCGTCAATTGGCTCTCAATCAGTGTTGTGCATGGTGCAATAACGCAATCAAACAATGACGCATTGCGGAGAACATTTACTAAAAAGAGAAACCGTGTCATCTAGAGCATTCTTTTTTGCCTTAAGGTGTACCAATAGTTATAAGTAAGCCTACTTCATCATATCTGATGGTTGTTTCAATATTTTCAAATGCGGAACATTCCCTTTAACACAGGGTTATCAGGAGAGGGGATTCGCCCGACATAACCTGTGCGTAAGAAAGGGACGAAGGGGTTACCTCGCTAAGAACGTGTTAATATTGATCAAAAATAAAAAAAATCGGTAAAAGACGTGCGCCAGCTGGTCAGCGCATCCCGCAACTCACCTATACTGGGACCAGTTCGTATAGTAGCACACAATCTTCCGTCCCGCCTTGCCGACCGGCTCCGAGGGCACGGGCTTCGGGGCCGAGAACGTGACCGCGGCGACCTGCGGCCCCTTGCGGACGGCGACCTGCGCCGTCGAGCTGGCGCCGGAGCGGCCCTTCTTCCGCCGGCGACGCCGCTGGCCGCTGGGGACGCCCGACGTGGGGCGGATCACCACCTGGTGACCAGGTGACGGCGGTGATTTCACCATGGGTAGCGCGGCATCGATATATTGTAGCGTGTGATTAGCGGGTGAGAAGCAAGGTTAGATGTAAATAGTGATTGGGCTGCTCACGGATGTTGCGAGGCAAGCATCCATAGCGGGTTAGTACACAATATGTAAAAAGCAATTGGAATGCCAACCTGTTGAGCGTTGACCAGTGGCATCGACGATGAGAGACAGCGTGTGATCGCTCAGTTGGTTCAACAATTGATGAGCGGTGCAGAGAAAATGACTGCTGTCGCAAAACAGGTCACTGGGCTACTACATTCCACTCGAAAATGGGGAAAGGTATATCGGGAAGAGATTTTCAGTCACCTTAGCATCATGACGTCATAATATTGTCCTTAAAATCCTGCCACTCAATAAGCCATGCAGCAATCTAAGCCAAGACAAATATAGTTGTCCAAGCGTTCATATCTGGTGTTCGTGAACGCGACTTCCAAGCATAACGGCCGTTATTTGGCTCTCCATCAATGCTGTGCAAAGTATATGACATAATCAAGTCACGACGTATTGAGGAGCATATTTACTAAACAGAGAATTGTGTTGTCCAGAGCAGTCTTTTTCACATGAAAAGCACGCCACTATTTATAAGTCATCTTGTTTCATGATATCTGATGATTGTTTCAAAATCTTTAAATGGGAAACATTCCCTTTAACGTTGCAATTACATGCTGTAAACACTGGAATTGAAATGTTTTGTGAGGAAAGCGTGAATGGCACGCAAAAAGTTCCTCACAGCGTCCACGCGGCCAGTGTCCCGGTTAACTGTCGGTCACGCACCTTAGACGCTGGTTTGGGGGCAGCTGCTGCCGCCGCCGAGGCTATGCCTTCCTGCTGGGCGGTCACGGGAGCCTGGGACACGGCGGCGGCCGCTTTGCCAGAGGCCGTACCCCTCCTCCTGGACGGCCTGGCAATGCGTATCGGCTTGGACGCCGCCGAAGGCTCACTGAAAGAGGCGGTGCCTCGCCTCCGAGAGGGCTTTGCAACGCGCCTCGGCTTGGCCACCAATTGAGGTTCGCTGGCAGAGGCAGAACTTCTTGTTCTTGAAGGCCTGCTGGCTGGGGACGCGCTGGCCGCCGCCGGCGGCTCAGCCGGTGTGCCCTCTGTAGAAGCGTCCTGATCCAAAGCGACAACTTGAGTCTGCGACACTCGCTTGCGGGGACGAAGACGCCGGCGTCTTGGCGCTGTGAAAACGTCAGGCAGTTGTCATCAATATGGAGCGACGTTTCCTTTTACATGCTTTGACAGCCAGAGGAGCGGATTACGTGATATTCCAGTACACGAAAGCTCTTTGAACGATCTCTCTTTGAACGAAGCTCTTTGGCGATCGCATTGAACGCTGATCTTATCTGACGGTGTGAAATTTGATCAGAGTCACATTGAACTCCTATCGTATAGGTGGGATATCGATTAAGTCCTCACTGACTGAATGGGACAAGGGCTTGACGAGCTGGAGTACTTCAAATCAAGGGGTTCGGTGATGGTTTGTTGTACTAAGGACTAAATGTTATACTGAGGACTTACTGCCCTTCAGGCTTAAATTGTACAGGTCGTGACTCATCGGATACATCAAAACCCACGGGTTATAGACTGATGGAGAACAAAATGTCTGTTATGTACGGACGGCATCAAAGATCTGTAACGGGGGCGCAGGGGCGCTGATTAAGGAGACTGGGTGCCAATCAATTTGCATGCCCCGGAACGAATGGTGGGCGACGCATACAGACGGAAGCCGCGAGCACATCAGCATGAGGTGCTGAAAACAGTCGGTGGAGGCCGTAGTAATCTATCAGCGATTCAGAATATGCCTTTCATTAAAGCAATGTTCGATCGGTCCTGTTTTCTTTGCGTTTCTGCCAACATTTCGCGTGCTTTCCAGTTACTCTACTTTCCAGCAGCGCACATCATTTCATGGTCGTGTTTGAAGTTCATTCATAACTGATGTCTAAAGTATACAGCCGAAATATCACACCTATCTTTCCATTCTCTTGTTGCCGGAGATGCGTCCAGATCTAATCACCTATTGACATAAAATTCACTGCCTTATCCTGGTGCCATTTCTTCCAATAAAATGGTGTTGAATAATAAGCTGGCACAGCTTTCAGATCTGTTTCCAATGCCGTAGACCCTAAAATGCAATACATTTATACATTCAACTTGTTTGTGAAAAAACATGCACGTTGGGCATTACTTCCTGTTTACTTGCTCGGCTCGAGCTCTATGCATGACCTAAATTATAAGCACTTGCTGCAGCTGTACAGCAGCCCTTGACCTCTCAGGAATGTGTCTCTGGAGTGGCCCGCATCCACCCTCCATTCCTGGCTGGAGCGCGCGGAGAGCGTAACATCATCGGAAAGCCGCACATAGCGTGCAATAGCGTGCTGAGCCCTGGTCAGAGACGAAGTGTGCACATTTGAGGGAAACACATCTTTATGCCTTTCGCATTCCACTTAAAACTACAATTTGCCAGCATCGGGATTGTTTGCTGTCATGACCATGCGGGCAATCTTGACTAAAATCGTGCCACTGGGGTCTGGTCAAGCGGGAGTTAATGGAATAAATGTGTTGCGCTGGGACTTGATCTAGGAAGGTCGGTCACGCTGGGGCCTGATCAAAGATGGTCGGTCGCAGTGGTGACCTGATTGGGGAGGATCTGTAGCAGTTAGGATCGGGGGATCTGTGGATGCCACATCAACTTTACAAGAATGCTGAGCATTAACCCTATGGTGACCCACGGAAAAATTGTACCACAAAATTGGTTTTGGCACCAATGTTTCTGAAACACCCCTTCACATATGGACCGATGCAATGATACGTGCGACGTGCGAGCCAGCACGAATGGCTCTGGCCATCAGTGGTAGTAGGAGTATGTGGGTTCTTAGGAGCGTGTCTACTGCGGCGATCATTTAGCGCTGACAACTTTGTTTCACGGTCTTCATTCATTCATGGAGAGTACGCTATGCGCTCCGAGTCAGCAGGCATCAATAAGGCGTATGAAAAATGGAGCCATATATAGTCACGGAACATAAGACAACCAAGTACATTATTTTGAAATCTATATGCCTCACAAAATCTGACGCAATGCTCGCATCACAGATCGGTTTCTCCAATGCAGGAGCACACAGAGACAGTCTCCGTCGCGCGTAAGAGCCAAAGTAACGGTAAGGCTCAGCTGACCATCAGCCGCTGCCGCCAGCTGATGCTCAGCTGCTACCCGCTAGTGGTCAGCTCTAACAAGTGAAGTAATGTACATAGGTTGCAATAGTCACCATGGGTAACATTAACGCATGCTTGCATACATTGGGAAGGTAAGGTCACCTACATGCTTATGTGCATCGTTGCGCGCCTTTCGTACCACATATTGCGTGAGGAGCCTATGAATATCCAGTGGCCACTTTCTGACTGAAATCCTAGCACACTCCGCCAACACTTGAAAGGTCACCTTCGTTACTTGGTGACCGCTGCATCGAAATCATGTCAACATCTAACACTCCAAAAACTCATAGAAGCCGGAGAGAAACCTCAATCACAATTTCATCCTTGCTATTTGCGTTGTGCACTCACCTGCTTCGTCAGCAGACGCCAGCGATGCCACCAGAACGGCAACCAGTAAAAAACACCACAGAGCTCTTGTAACCTCCTGCAAAGACAAAACAGAGCACACGGTGAAGCCTTCGCCCAATGCGAACATTCCAACACGGTATATGGTGACTTTATCAGATACATCCAGCACATTGGGTAGCGAAAGCAGCTCTAATTGCGCCTAATTACGTCTAATTAGCATACATTATGCGCCGGATGCAATTGTGAATTGCGATGCATGAATGGCGGTAAGGCGGAAAACCCCGCTTCTGCTCTCACCCTCTGCACTAGAAAACACGTTGACCAGGTACCGAGTGTCCGCTCGTTTAGCGTCATAACAAACATTGCGTGACTAAGACATACGGTTTAGCAGGCCACTTGAGCTTTACGCACGGCAAATAATCCGGTATGCATCAATCATCCAATGTTTTGGCAATTGATCATGTCAAAGTGAATCATATGAAGTGAAGCTGTGACTTTCACTTCTATCAAACATATCAGAGCATACTATGTGCACGGTAGTGGTCGGAAAGATATGGAATGATCACGGAAAGCCCTGCATCGGGGGAGCACACACCCCATGCCAGTGATGGCTTCGTCTGTAATTATCATGTTAAGCCACGCTCCATCCTTGCTTCCGCGCCGGGTGTGCACCAACACGAGAAAAAGGCGCTAACAGCCAACAAAGTCAGAGCTTGAGTCGAGGCGGATTACACTCTTGTAACAGTGACACATGGAAAGATGCGCGTTAAACCATACACTGGTCATGACTTCGTCAAGCGTGAACGGCTTCCACCTGTGAACCGCGGGCGTTCTAAGCTTGCACAAGAGTCATTTGCCATTCTTGAATGTATTTCTTCCAAGAAAAACATCCATAAACATAACTTTACGCACCATTCGGGTGCCAGGAAGGAACATTGGTTCCTCAGCTGCTCAAAGAGGAGGCAAACATCCATTTCGTCTCTTAGCTACACCTTTGGTGGAGAGGGATTCAAAATGGCTGTCACACCCGACTGTTTCAGACAGAAGGATTTGGACAGTACTTCTGCTGCATGAACCACCACAACAGCAATATAGCATTCTCACAAAGCTCACTCTTTCTCTCGCACTCACTCTCTCTCTCTCTCCCTCCCCCTCTCTCTCCCTCTCTTTCTCTCTGTCTCTGTCTCTGTCTCTCTGTCTCTCTCTCTTTCCCTTTCTTTTTTTCTCTCTCCCTTTCTATCTCTCTCTCTCTCTCTCTCTCTCTCTCTCTCTCTCTCTCTCTCTCTCTCTCTCTCTCTCTCTCTCTCTCTCTCTCTCTCTCTCTCTCTTGCTCGTTCTGTCCTCCTCTATATCTCGCTCTCGCTCTCTTTTCCCAGCGCGCATACGCGAACGTCTACGTGCTTCACCAACGTCCTCTGTTCGGTAATTTGCCCGTTTTACTCTCACTCCTCCACTGCCACCTCGCCACAAGCATGACCTCAGGTGTGAGCTTCCCGTCGCCCTTCCGCTAGATGGCAGCTCTTGCGGCGGCATTCTCCGGCCTTGGATTAGCTCGGGTGATGGTTAATGAACATCCGCCTCCATCTTGCGGAAACTGACGTTAATAAACGTGACTCTTCGTCGGTATTAAAATTCACCATCCAGTCTCGGGTGTGTTAGTAGATTCCGGTGCTTCTCATTACAGCTTGCCTGTTTTTGCTCTGATGTGTCCATGAATATTTATCTCAACAATGTCTGTAGATGTTGCATATAAGTTCATGAATGGTTGCACCTGGTGGGTTGAAGCTGGCATCAACGGAATACTTCAAGACGGGCTTGCAAGGTGATACAGTACAGGTATGTAAGTGCCACAAATATTCGAGGTGCTTAATGAGTGTAACAGAGTGCATTTAGCCATCGGCGAGCCCAAAATACAAAAGTGGAGGGGCCCAATCATCTGCGCACGCCGCTCCTTTTCACTCGGCTCTTTTTGCGCTTCGCGATAGCAGATGTTTGTATGAAGTATATTGTACATAAATGTTTTGTTTTGAATTGTTCGTGAATTTTCAGCATGTGCGCAGTTTTGTGTACGTGCCATATACAATGCAAATGTAAAATGAATGAGGGTGACACGGTGACATTCGCCAACCATGGAGTGCTTTTATAGAAACGGAAAACAGAGCACAGCTGGTTGTAAGTCCCCAATTCACGACCTCCTTTTTATGGCCATGGGCGAGCTGTCTTGGGCTACGACCAACGACACTGCCCAAGTTCTCTGAGATACGACTGTTCTCTGAGCTACCCCTGCTGAACCGACCGTCTGATCGTTGTTCACAGACAGCTGCGTCATCCTCTTCCCATATAGCTGCGTGCACGTACACGTAGTTGACTCCGATCTGTCATAGGGTGTCCATGTCTCGAACGTCATGGAAAAATGCAATGACATACCAGTTTCTCTATACAAATTCCGTCCTTACTTATCTTTACATCTTATCAAAATCATCATATACGCGCACGTATTCCCTCATATCAAGCACTGCCTTTGCGTATGGTATGGAGCAAGCGAGAGTCAACTACACAAAATTTAAAAAATCTAAACTTCGCTGCAAGAGTAATTACCGGTTCCAAATAGCAGCACCATATAACTCCAGCTCTAAACTCCCTTGCATGGCCGAGGATCAAGGTCATGTAGACGCACCATATCGCGATAAAAGTGCTTCAGGCGCTGAAGGAGGTATGCGCGCCTTACACGGTCCGCGCGCTTTTTGCATCACGCGCCGCTGTTTTGGGCAGTGAAGCGCATGCCTCGGACAGAGATGGTCTGCGCCGGCGCGGATACTACTTGACCACGGCACAGAGCGCGTCTTCGCATCGAGCCACAGCAGCCTGGGACCGCCTGCCATCGTGCGTCCGTCATGCCACAACGCCGAGTGTGTTTAAGACCGCCACACGCCACGGGATTTTAACCACAGACAACTGATGTGATTCGGCTCATAGTGCGATGACAGGTGTGCTTTAGCTCTTTGATCATTGTTCGTATAATTTTTGTACATTTTTGTGTGGGCCTTTTCATGCTGCACCTGTATGACCTAAAACCGCAATATCCACCGTGTGCATGGTTTCCAATACACTTATACTGATAATGATACTAATACACCACTCCGCACACACTAGTGACCTCTAACCCAGACATCTGAGTCACCTTCCCCCGACGGCGGTGTCATCCCCCCCCCCCCCCCGGTCATCGGCGTGGCCCTCCGCCCGGGCAGCCCGGCCACTTCCACCCACGAGGCATCACGATCCGTCTGTGCGGCCGGAGGGGGGGGGGGGGGGGGCGGCCGCAGCGCCGCGAGGTCTCTCTGTGACGTCACCTGTCCGGTTCTCACCAGCTGTGGTCTCTGGGCCGGGCCGGTCGAGACGAGCCTCTCTGCGGCGGCGCCGGGACGGGACGGCGGACGGGCTGGTACGGGCCGCGCCGGACCGGCCCCTCAATGCGGTGCATGATGTTCATGAGCCACACGCAGTGGGATAATTTTTGCCGGCCAAATTTGGAATAAATGTGGTAAAGTGCAATCATGAGCTTTATTGTATGAATCATGAATCTTGTAAGTAAGCTTTTACGTAACATTGATGGGAGAATATATTCATTTGGCATAGATTTCCTTTATTTGCCACTTGCCTCCCATTCCAAATGAATATGCTACTGGAATGGAATTTGCAACCTCTGTTATCTCAACGCCTGTAGTTGTCGACTCTCAGCATGCTTTCAAGAGCCACAACAGTAATCTCAGTGCGCGACAGAGGGCTCATGAGCCTGACGCCCGCAGTCCGACTCTGAACTGCCGACGCAGACGACACAAGGCGGGCCTGGATAGGCCGGCTTTGGAGGACCCAGCGCCAGGCAAGGCAGACTTGATCCTGGATAGCGCCGCATAAATGGCTACACTCCGTGCAGACAGCCAGCTGGCCTATTTTCGGAAGACCAGGATGAAAGAGAAAGCAGCGCTGAGCATGCACCGTTTTACGGCCAGCGGAGCGCCCTGGTCGGGGGCAACGGTCGCATTGCCAAGTGGAGCACCCGCTTGGCGAATGGCTGCTGATGCTGAGCCAAAGGGCGAGAATCAAAGAACCAAAGAGAAAGAACTAAAGAACAAAGGGCAAGAAATGTGCTTCTGTCACGCGGTGCGGAGATTTTCAAGGCCGCTGCGTAATCGCTCACTCAAAACTTGTTTATGATTTTCTTGGGACGACACGACACGCAAGTCGAAGGCATGCAGCTGTTTTTTGCCACACATCGTGTGCTAAGCGCGTCGCGTTTGCCATCATCCCGGCGATAACCGTCGGCATTTGACGGCAAATTCCCACGGTTACTCACGACTTGATGATCCAAGCGAAAGGCTTACCACGCACCGGGTGCTCAAATGTGCGTGACTGCGACTATGGTGTCGCGTGTACAAATGTGCGTGACTGCGACTATGGTGTCGCGTGTACAAATCCGGAAAGTGTACACACCTTCAAGCGTACATCACATTTTCGCAACACACGTTTTTACGGTTTTTTATTGTTTGAGCGACTCCTTGCGTGATTTCAGTTTTGATATTGGGGTTGGCACGGATGGGGATGAGGGTGGTGTGTAAAACATTATCAAGGCTGGGACACCGGAGAGACACGTAACTCAAGCCGTGTCTGTTGCCTTCCGCAGCAAAATGTGCATGCTGTCCATGCCTGATGTGCATGTAAACCCGTGCCTAATGTGCGTGTCTCCGTGCCTGATGTGCACGTAGTGCCGTGCCTGATGTACATGTCGTCCCGTGCCTGATGTGCGTGTCGTCCGTGCCTGATGTGCATGTGTCCCTTGCCGATATGCATGCCGTTCCGCGCCTGATGTCATGTGTGCCGTGCCTATGTGCATGTCGTTCCCGTGCCTGATGTGCGTGTCGTTCCGCGCCTGATGTGGATGTAGTCCTGTACCTGATGTGTGTGTCGTCCCGTGCCTGATGCGCATGCCTTTCAGTGTTTCATCGCGTGAGAGCACGTAACTTGTGCGTGTCGTGCACCACAGAACCTTGACCTGCGCATTTCCTTATTAGGACCAGG